GTGAATAGAACCATTTAATTGAAAAGGAGTGATAAATAATATCATAGAGTTCTTTGTTGAACCTTTTGTTCAGCTACGCTGTTTTCTGCTGTTCTTGGATGGGTGATCATATGAGAACTTTAACAGTGACACAGACATTGTTCCTTATTGGTACCCTCCGCCATAAAGAGATTGAGTCAAGATGACAACCAGTGTATCAAATTGTTGTAAGATAGAACCAACCCCAAACAGTTGATATAGAAGCTAAAGAGATTATGATGATACTTAAATAATTTATAAGAATAGACAAAGATTTTTAGAGTTTACGGAGAAAAAATGATTTTCAGTTTATTTTATATTTAACACTTTTTTTTAAATTTCAATTCCAAAAAAGCATTGGAGTGAAAAAATAGTGACTTTGTACTGTTTTTGAGACAAAACCTTACTTCTTTATTTAATTTTGTTGTATCAAACTGTAACAAAATATTAATATGATTTATAAATGTAATTCTGAGACAAAAATATAATTGGAATATTCACAGATTTTTATGACAAAAAAATGAAGTCCCTAATTGTGCTATTAAAAATACTTAGATGATTTGGGTCTTTTAAGGTTAGCTTGTTTTTCCAATTAGCTTTAAATTTTGAAAACTAAAATATTTCGATTGGTTTTTTTTATTAATAACATAAATTAAATTAATTGCTAATTGCTCATTTGTTTTAACAAATTTTAAAATTTTAAAGTGATTTACGTTACTTATTTTAAGTCCTCTCTCTATATTTACCAATATTATTAGTATTTTTAAGGTTATTAAACACTCAATTTTATTATTAAAATATTAAATATTCTATTTATGTTGATTTTTTAAACTATTGAAGTATCATCCAGTAGCGTCGTTTACTAGCTACATACTACATTACTCTACTAACAAGTTCACAAATTTAAGTTGATTTCAAGTGCATATAAATTGGAATCTGTATTATAAGAACATGATTGCCAAGTGGTAAGGCAAATTTTGGTTGTGAGCTCAAATTCTGTTTTATTTTTTCAGGCATTCTAATAAATTCTAAATAAGCTACCATTAATTGCAGGCTGAAAAAATATATTTTTTATATTTAGATTATATTACGAAGTATTTGTTGCGAAATATGAAAATAATATTTTTTTTTATCACATCACTCATCTATTGCATTTAGTTCAATAATCCATAGTCACAAATTAAACTAAGTATGGGTTAGTGAACCAAATATCTAACTTATAATATCAACAATGCCAATTTAACATTGCTTGGTAATAAGAATAGCAACATTAATCGAATGTGTATCATATAGCTCGACTAGTAACGACGTATCGTGCATTTCAACATAAATATTAAATACAATTCTCATATCTATTTTTTGAGACACGAATTGTTATGCTAAGCATTTTAGGTTAATTAAAAGTTTTTTTTAATTTCACTCAGTTATAAAAGTCGTTTTATGTATTAAACATAAGTCAAACAAGAATTATACTTTTAGTTTTGTTCCAAACCGTAGAAAATGGTTTATTGCTATACTCTGCAATGAGTATTGTACTTTTAAACATTTAACAAGTTTACCCTTCAACCCTAGATAAAAATTTAACATTCTCAAAATTTTATGAGAATATTCAATTATAAATGAATCATCGTGGAAATATTTCCAGGGCTTAACATGATTCTAGAATATTGTAGTGTACTAACGTTATCAGAAATTTATTTGACCAAAATTCTTATGTTCTGAGATTATATGTAATTTTTTAAAATATTTGTTTAACATAAGTTCATATAATAATATGATATTCAGGTGATGTTACCACAATATTTTAAAAACGTCTAGAAATATTTTTGTAACGTACCATAGTAATAATAAATTAGATTTTTATAAATAGTAGCACTCAAAACATTTCTAAAAATACTTAAGTGAATTCATTGAAGGAACAAAAATATCATAACTGAAAAATTATGAAATTGTTTGCAGTGGCATGTTTAAGAATTTTTTATGGGGGCCCAGATAAATTTCAGCATATCGAATAAAGTAAACTCTCTCCACGCTACCTTGATTTTATATCATCGAGGAACCGGTTGGGTTGAGTTTTTGGGGTTATTGGGACCCCGATAAATAGGCTACTATAAGTTAATATATTAATCCTACACTAATTTTTGTCAACATTATTGTAGCAAAATTAAGAATTTTTGTAAAAATAACTCTAACATAAAATATTAATATTTCAGAATTGTTACTTAGGACTATTTGATAGATAACCATATTCATAAAAATTAAAACTAAAGTCAAATAAAATTTTATCCGTTCAAATCATTTATAAGTCCATTAAATAGTTTATTTGGAACTTGACTGGAGTCTAAATTTTTGCACTATTAGGTGCTCAATAAGTATGAACTCATATATGCTATCTATAATTTGAATGTTGAATACTAAATACTAAAAACAGCATACTTATCTTATACACAAATATCGATAATTCTGACAATCTATTACATTATTTTTATTCAAATGCTATAATCAAATTTTTCATCATATATTCATGATATTGGCTTCGACACAGAAATTGTGGGGAATATTCAAACCAAAGAAGTTTTTTATAAGTATAATACATTATAAAAAAATATTCCACTTTTTATTCATTATTATATTACATTTATATTTAAATTTAAATATCATATCATATTATACGGTTAATAATTTAATCTATGCTATTGTTCAAACATGTCTGTATTTATCTGTTATTTTTAAAAATGATAATAAATGGTATATAATTAAACAATTTTTCATCCATAAATATTTTATAATTAAAAATAATCCATCAGCTTAAACATTTTTTTTATTCTCGTCAGTCAGTCCTTGGTGTTAAATACAGTAAAATCATTACTTATTATTAAGATTATATATATTTTACAAAAATAAGTAAATACATGTTTGAAAAAAATAATAATGCGATTTTTTTAGGTTTAGTTTTTGTAAGGCCACAAATACAAAACACATTTATCACTGTAGCGGCCGCTAGCAGTCATGTTCTGAATGGCAGTTAGCCGATATAGAACATTACAACAATAATTTAGTTTTAACATTTTAGCATTGCTTGCTATGGCGAGAAGTTCGTAAATGCTCTTAATATAACAACTAACGACAATCTTTCTTTTCTATTTTCACTACAAGAGAATTTTAGTAGCTATAAACTAGGATTTAGGTATCTATTATAACTCATTGTTATGGCTTGACATATTCTACATCATTGGGATTTATACAAACTTAGGTCCGATAAAATAACAAAACATTTCATTATTATTTTTATCTGATATTTTGAATTAAGAAAGCTAAATTATAAGTTAAAAGAAAAAATAAATGAATTGAACAGTTAAGTTTAAAACAGTGTAGTTTATATTAGGTTTTAATGTAGTCTACTTTTGTACAAGTTACTATCAGGTTGGGTTGAATTGGGTCTATTGATGCAAAGAGTTGCCTTAATATTTGTAGTTACCACTTTAGGAGGTCACATTATCCTTAATTTACGATCAAGTGCACTTTGCCCAACGCTATTTTTCTATCAACAATACTTATTTACTTCATTTACACTAAATGTGTTGGGGTTAAAGTATTTATATTTGTACACTACCAAGAAAATAATATTACCTCCTTTATACATTATTATTGTTTGTGTCACACCTTTCTTAAATTATGAGAATCAAGAGTTTTAGAAATGTTAAATTATTTTAATAAAGGAAACTTTGTTATGGTTTTAATATTGAAAAATAGAAAAAAGTTCGCTTCTTAGATGTTTTACAAATTAAAAATTAAGTTACATCATTAGACAAACAATATAATTGGGATTTACTTTGATATTTAGGATAAACAAATAGTTTTCGTGTTCAATATAAATATTCATAACATTTTTAATAAGGTAGAAATGGTGTTGATTAAAATTTTGAATTATAAAAAACTTATTCATCCGAATTAACTAAATGATTAATTTTAAAACTGTGGTGACTTATTAAGATACAATAATTTATTCTTTTATTATACATATTTTTTATTAATTTGTGTAAGCAATCTTAGATGTGCTCGAAAAGGTTAAATAAAAAAAGGTCTTTGCTGAAAAAGATTCACTCTAATATATAAAATATGCAAGTTTACTCTCTAAAAGACTTTTAGAAATTAGTTAAATACGTTGGAGCTTTTGTTTATGAACTTAAATTATAAAACTATTGTGAACGCAAGTGGAATTGCATTATACTGTGAAACGACTTTGTACATTTTAATGAGAACACATCGGTGTTATTGTTTTGTTTGAATGTTTATTATAAGCACTGTATTGTGAATTATAAGCACACTGCACTAAAAAATATATTAGCAACACGTATTTCCATTTGCTCTGAGTTAAAAATTTCAGAAATTAAAATGCCTATTAACACTCGAAAGATATTTTTATCAATAAATAAATGTATGACTGTTATTAAGTCTATGGAAATATATTTTAATTATCATACTATATTTTTAAAAATTTTTTGAATATCTAATATAAACAGTGTACATTTTAAATAGCTAAAAATTAAATTATTTAATTAAATAAGGTTAACTTATCTAATTATCAATTAAGGATTTAAAGATTTATTCAACTTCAAAATTATATAACAGATTTATTACTAATAATCTACTAGGTTGAAATAATGTTTAAACATTTGAAAAGGCTCTGTTTTACAATGTAATTGTCAACATTTGTGTTTTACATTTTACAATTTAAGTCGTACATCACAAATTAACATAATTACTCAATTTTGATGCTTAAGAGTTAATGTTTCAAGTAACACCGATTATGTTCAATCTTTGTGACGTATTCAGTAACTGAACCAGCTAGTTATCCTATTTGTCATACCTTTCATCAAAAACATTTTGACTGAACAATTTTTTTTGAAAATAAAAAATAATGTAATTTTTAGCGAATTTTATAAACACTTTTTTTTATCATCGTTGTGTTTTGTTTTTAGATGAAAATATTTTGAAATGGAAAATGAATAAATTCAAAGATTGAAAGTGAAAAATAATGAACAACAATAGTCATAGTGTAGTTCCTGAAGCCATTGTTAATAATAATTCAAGTAACTACTATGAAAACAGCGGCAGTAATGATTCATTCAACACATGTCCTGTGTTCAACAATACTGAAAGTGACGATTACAATTTATTATTTGAGTTCATAGCTTACGGTATTCTTTTAAACGTGATTGGTGTTTTTGGCATTCTTGGAAATGTGATATCTATGATAATCTTATCCAGACCTCAAATGAAATCGTCGATCAATTACCTATTAATTGGTCTGGCTAGATGTGACACAGTACTAATAATTACATCTATTTTACTATTCGGGCTTCCAATCATTTATCCATCAACCACATATCTTTTTAACTATTACTTTAAGGTAATATAAAAATATTATATAAAAAATGTTTCATACATTTATTTATCAAGTATATTTATTTAAATATACCTGAATGCTTATTTTTTATTATTCATGCTGGTATATTAATGTGAGTGATGTTACCATTTATAGGTATATCCATTAATCGCACCGGTGGTCTACCCAATAGCTATGATATCTCAAACGGTATCTGTATACCTGACGCTCACTGTTACATTAGAACGATTTGTTGCTGTTTGTCACCCTTTGCAAGCTCGATCTTTATGCACATACGGTCGTGCTCGAGCATACGTGATAGCAATCATAGTATTTTCGGTTCTCTACAATATAACTAGGTTTTGGGAAGTGAGAGTTCAAAAGTGTTTGCACTCTGAATATAATCAGTACGTGTATCAAGTTTATCCAAGTGAATTGCGAAACGATAAATCGTACATATCAATTTACATACATTGGATGTATTTAGTCATAATGTACTTCATACCTTTTGGTTCATTAGCTGTACTAAATGCTGCAATTTATAACCAGGTAAGTTTATAAAGATATTACAAAACAACATGAATGCTTTAAATGATTTGTTAAAAATGTAGATTAATATTGAGTAAATGTAACTGTGTTAATGTAATTATATTTGCCCAGTAATATTGATATTTTATACATTTTTTTTAGTAACTATAATTTGTCAAAGCGTTTATAGCAACTTGGCTGCTTTATTAAATTTTTAATCAACGTGTATTGAACAGAGATAAAATAAACAATGCAACATATTACTACATTTATTATAGTAATTTTTTAAAAATATAATACTTCAATTATATTTTTGAACGCTTTTTCTATACACCATATATTGTGTAGAAACAGTAAATAGTCTGTATTAATAGCTCATCATTTATATAATGTATTAAAAACCGAATTTTTGTTTTTCTTTTACTTACAAAATATTTAATGTGTTACTATTTTAGCAAGTTATAGGTCTGTTAGGCTTTTTGATTGTCATGTAGGCAGTTATAAATCTTTCTTACCAAGCACTATTGTCAAGATTTAAGACTTTATGGTTTCACCAACATTTAAAAAAAGTACTACAGCTAAAGCTTTTTATCTAATGGGAAAAATATTTCATAATTAGAAATTGATCATAATAAGTCAATCAATTTTGTAAAATTCAATTTGTGAAATAATACATTCTTAACTTAATTTAGTATTATAAATTAGATAAATATTTTTTATGTAAAGCAAATTATACAGCTGTTATATATATATATATATATGTATGTGTGTGTGTGTGTGTGTGTGTGTGTGTGTGTGTATTTATACCATATTATATTATATTATAAAAAACATGAAATAGAAGAACAATTTTTTGTATAGTTTATTTGATTTACTACGACCATCTAACTCACGCTACAAAGAACTTTGTTATTTATACAGTCTTACACAAATGCTCGAATATCATTCCGCTTGCACTTCTCATAACATTGTAATTTGTTTTGCTAAATATCATATACGTAGGATTAAATTATATTACTGTAAGTAATTTTTTATATTTAAATCTCTAGTGGTATTCTTTCATCCTAAAATATGACACAAGCATGCTAAGCTCATCTTTCCATAAACTGAATATACATATATTTTAATAATATATAGTAGTGGGAGGTGGCTTTTAAAGTATGTGAATGCATTTTATTACTCACCCTTTATCAGTTTTATAATGTTATATTGAATGGACTATACATTATACTTTTAAAGGGGGACAGACTCATATTAATATACATATATTTAACATTTTAAAGACGTTATATAAATTACACAGAGCATTCTATTAAAAACAGTATTATATTGTGTACGTTATCATTGTGTATTATAGATTAATTCTAATAATATTATCTTACCAAAAAAATAACTATTTTTTTTTACAAAATAATACATTAGTTTAAATATTTAGTAACAATTTTGTAAGCAAAATGCAGTTTTAAGTTGTAATAATCAACTATTAATAAATTAAAAAAATAATTATCCTAGTATTTTGAACTACAAGATTTATGTTTAAATTTAAAATTGAAGAGAGAGAACTTGATAAGATATTTATACAACAGCATTTATTCAGAGTAAAAAACTATCAAAAAATAAGAAGAGACGTTGGTTTTATTCAAGAATTAAGATGTTTTATGAACATATTCCAAAAGTAACTGATGTTATTCTACCAAAAAAATTTTACTCTTTACCATAAAAACTATATTTGAAAGAATTACTTGAATATTTTTAATTAATTATTTCAAAACGATAAAGCTTGTTAAAAAAAAAGTAATTAAATACAGGAAACAAATGAAAATCATGAAATTCATTTATCAGTAAATTTTGAACAAAAACAGTGTTAATATAAATTTTAAAATGAAATTTTTCTTTTAAGTATTAGGTATACCTTTTTTTATTACTATTAAATCTATGTCAAATCTAAAATAGAGCATATAACGTATCGTTCCACTTACCGATTACGTCAAGAGTGAAGGTAATTGAAAGGGACCGAAAATAAATTATTAGAAAAGTGAAGACAGTATAGGAATATTTGATTAGACATATATTTTTTATGTATCTGAACTATGAGAAGGGTATGACTATTAGTAATTTTATTAATACTATATGAAACTTTTACAGACCCAGATAATATAAAAATTTTAAGTCCATTAGTATTAGATTAGGTATTATTTATTAAAAAACCGTGTTAAGTCAACGTTGAATAATATTAAGTGAAAGTTATCCTAAAACTGAATAGAATATTTTTAATGTATTAGTATAATATTACGCTGTTTAGTTAAAATAGTTTAGACAGATATCGCTAGATTGATAGGCCTCATTAAGGGTTTTTATTTTTGTAATTCTTTTTTAAATATATTACAATCATTTGTTGTATAAAAATATGATATTAATTTTTCTAATACCACAAAAATTACTGTATTTTACTCTTTAAAACCGCGGTTAAAAATAATTCATATTATTACAAATTAAATGATGGTTAATAAAAAATAAAAATAAAAATACAATGCCGTTAGAGAGAACAATACACAGCCAACTATAAACAGTATAAATTAATTTTTCTACCTTGACAAAAATTTTTTTTTTTTAATATTTAATTGTTCTAAGTAATAAGATTAATGTTTAACATTACCTTTTCTATTTAAATATTAACTTCATTAATAAAATAATAAATTGTAAATTATTAAAAATAACTTATCAGTAATATATCTAGCCTTAAGAAGAAAAAATTTAAAAAAATCTATGTAATTGAAATGAACTTTAAAAGAATAATTGTAAAATTATCAATTTAAAAAAAATTTGTGGAAATTGAGGTTTTAAAATTTTTCATTTATTTTTAGAACTACTAGTGTATATAGTCATAATGTGTTTACTCAGCAAAATGAAATAATTTCGCTCTCGCAATTAAGCAATAAATTCAATAGAACGTTCCAAAACAGTTAATAAGAGATATAAAGATAATGTCTTTCTTTAAATGAACAACTTCATAATTTGAACTTAAACTTTAAGTGACTCACTGTACTCAATGATTACAGCAAGTAAAATTACTATTTTTAAATATTCCACAATTAAATTAAAACTATAAGAATACATAATTCTTGTTATGTTTCTTTGTTAGTTTTATTATAGTATACTATTAGATAGTAAAAACTTTCAAGTGTTCGTAGGAATTTTCTAATAAAATCGAAGCCTTTCAATGTCCTTACATTTTTTTTTATTTTGATCGTACTTTTTTTGGCATGTTTCCGACCAAGCTATCATTCAATGTTTTTTCTCACGACATAAAAATTTCACTCTATGCCTTTTTCAAAATTCTTTTACAACGTTTTGAATTTTACAATTCTAAAGTCATCTTAGTGCTACTTAAAAACTTTCAATAAAAGGGTTTTTTGAAAGATAAACATTTTTGATATATGATTTTTTTTCACTTATATAATCATAAAAAATAATTTAAAAATAGTTAAAATTAAAAAAATTTTAATTAAAATCATTAGTAATAAAAAAATCAATTAAATTATAAAATATTATGAAGATAAAAGTTATTAATTTATTAGTACAAGATTACGACTAAATTGCCTAATTATTCTGTTTAAATTTAATACGGAAGTAACTGATAAATCATAATAATCAAATGCTAATTAACTAGATATTACCTTATTTTTGTTAAACAGAAAAGTTAGTAATATATTATTATTATAAGATTTAGTTAATTATAATTTAAATAATTTTGAGTTCCTTTCAATGATTAATTTTTACTCTATATATTTGAATACCATAATGAACATTTTATTTTATTTTTATTATTAATTTTTTTTATTATAAAGTACATTTTAAATTATTTTAATTTAAAAAAAAGCTATTTCTAATGGTAGTTCTTAGGAGTAACTTTCTTTATTATTATTATTTTACTATTAAATAGAGAAATTTCTAAATTAAATTTTGACGCCTTAAAAACAATTTTTTAATATTTTAAAGGTAATTGTTTAAATTAATTTCAGTGTACATAGATATTCTACAAAAATAAATAAATATTTTTTTAATAATAAGTTTTTATAACTGCTAAGAATATTTACAATCTGTACAATATGTATATTAAAAAAAATAATCAATGTTGGTGTTTTCAATTATTGTAATGTCCATTTTTACTTATAATAAAAATCGAGGGATCATTTTAATTTAAGAGGATATCTTTTTTTAAAATATACTCTATCTCTCCTAGTATATGATCGCCAATAATAGTTCAGTAAGAGATGAAAATATTTAGGTATAAATACGCACGTACAAAAAAATACACAATGTTAAAGTTAATACCATTTCAGCTTCGCAATATGTATAATTTACTTTTATAAAAAATATTTATTCTCAAAAAAATATCGTATATTTTTAATTAAATTAATGAACTTTTGAAGAAATAGTATTTTGAAAATCTGTGAATCTAAAAAATCAGCGTTTCTTATTATCAATACAACAATAAAGAAGGTTGTTCTATAGATTAAACTATAGTTTGTTTTGTGAATATATCCACAAAGACTTTTTGCTTACCCTTTTTATTTCTTTCAAAAAAAATAAATATAAATAATAATAATAAATGAAAACCAAGAAACATTTTATTGTACGCACATTGTTGAATACATTGGACGTGAGAAAACAAATGTGGAGCAAGGAAAAGGAAATAGGTTCTTATTTGTTATTGTGTACTGCGAGATGACACCAATTTTATTGCTAGTAGAACGGCGTTATAAATAGGCACTTCATCTACATCAAACTGTATTAATAAAAAAATATGTATTTACAAGCTATAATAAACATAAATGGAAAACGGCTTATAAAATATATTAATTAAGCTCTAGTAAGCTTAATTTTTTTAATTACTTGGAGATTATGTAACAGTTGAAAAAAATGTAATAATATTATTTATGTACTTACTAAAAAATATGTATAACATTTTTTTTTAACAAATAGTGGTTTATGCACACTGTAAAACCAATAAGCACGTTTTTTTAAAATAGTACACACTGTCAGTAGTAGAATATTTCATATAATAGTAACACAAATTTATTACATGAAGTTTTTTATTTTATTCATGAATCATTTTTATAATTTTAGAACTAAATAAGTTACAAGTGGTTTACAACTAAGCTCTTTAAAATCTGATGATCGATTTTATATTTATAATCAAAGCAACAGACAATCAAAAGTTTATCATTAAGTTTAAATCACATTTATTGAATTAATTGACTTTACATTCATGAAGAATTTGATCAAATATCAAATCTTAAAAACAAAAATGTACTACCTACTTTATTACTTAAGCTGATTAGATTGGGTTTAAATTGATAAAAACTAATTTGATATATATATATATATATATATTTTATTTTTATTTTGTATAATATCATATAATAAGAATTTATTACTTGTGACTAATGTTATTTAAAATTAAAAAAAAAATTTAAATATTAATTTAAAACTAAAAATATTTAACTCAAAAGTCACAAAAATGACTTAAAAACCATGGATATATATTTCGGAAACAAGGATACCACAATCAAGGCTCATCACACGCAGACACCTTGACCAAAAAATACTCTTTTATGTTTCTTTAGTAACCTTATCACCTAGTGATGTTATCATATAGTTGATTGTCATATTTTGTCAGTTTATGCAAGTTTAATAATGAATATTTGAGTAAACCTAGATCAAAATTAATGAAATTATTTTTATTTTACAACCCTTTTTATAGTTTCCTTTATATTGACTTCTAAGTAATTATTGACGTTTGTAATAGAGCGGCGATGTTCAGTCAAAGAAGATTTATCAACTTCTTGAATTAATAAAATTAAAAATAAAATTTGATTAGATGATAACATCTCTAGGTAATAAGGTCACTAGGGGTATAAAAGTTAGTATACTCCGGTCAAGGAGTCTGTATGTGATGAGCGCTGATTATAGTCACATTGTTTCCGAAATGTGTATAAACTATTTTTTTAGTAATTTTTGAGGCTTTGACTATAATGTCTTTTAATTTAAAATTTTATAATATCTGTTAGTTTTAGAATAAAAAAGTTTTTGATTAAAACCGATTCTTCAGTTTTTTTTCAAATTATAATTTTAATGATATTAAAGAAACCTTGAAATTTTTTTGTTTTATATTTTATCATTTAAGTAACATAATGACTCTGTTAAATAATTTTAAGCACAAAATTACTTGAATGTTAACCTGATCATTTACATAATTTTATACCAATAATTAAGATATAGTGGTAAAATTTAGACAAACGTATATTTTGATCATAATCATAGAACATAACTTATACTCCTATCAAAACAATACGTTATTAAAGGTGAATTACATGATTTATAATTGAAATAAAATAATGTCTAATTCCTTAATTTATCATGAACCACTAAATTAAACAAAAATCCAAAATAATATTAAGACTTTATTTTTTTATTTTCTTTTAATTGTGTTTTCTTCATCTTATAAATTATAAAGTTTGTTTTATTTTCTTACCTTTTACTTTATTAAGGTATCAACTTTATTTTTTTTTAACGACAACATACATAATTAACTATTTTATTTAATAGATAATGAGCTAATCAAGAAAATGACTGGTCAATAACAACTTTTGGATTGGTATTTTGAAAACAATTGACATTTTTTATACCTATGCAGGAAAGAATACAGTGGGGAAACTACTAGTGATAAAAATAACATACCTGCGTCTCATCTCCAGACACCAATATAAAATGTTAATAACATCCTAAATACTGATCCAAATGTGGTTGTCAACCACATTTGAATAGTGTTATATAAGCAAGTAAATTATGTTCGATTTGCAACTAGAAATTCGCTTGTGTTAAATAAAATCTTTTGAATCTATGAATTAAACTATATATTTTTAAGACGCTCTGTTAGAAGTATTAATTTTTTTTTATCATTCTTTTTTCATGAAATGGTAATTAAATTTTGAATATTTTTTATCATTGGGATTTTATTAATAATATTTTTTTAAATGTTCTCAAAAAAGATATTATTTTAATTTTACTTCATAAATACACTTCATAAATACACTTCATGAATACACATAAAATTACTAAAAAATGTCCTTTTTATTATTTTATTTTTATTAGATACTTTTATGCAATTTTTAAAAATTTAAGTAATACTTACTTTAAATAATATACTTAAAATTTTATCAAAATTATTTTGTTTGTTTCTCAAACTGTTAAAGAACCTATCAAACCTCTATGTTTTTATAGCTTTTCAAAGTTATTTTTACATTCATACACAATGTTTGAATTTAATAATAAGATTAAACTACAAAATCTTCTAAGTCATTTTTATTTTGTGAGAACATATTTAATTAAAAATTGACAAGTTTGTAGTAATTTAATATTAAATTTTTGTATTCTATGTATGCTTGTACACTGTGAAATACAATGATGACATTCTCTAAAACAAAAAAAAAATCATTTTGCTTTAAATTTCCATAATTTTTTTGAAATTTATGCGAACGATTATAATTATAATTTAATGATATATTTTTATTATAAGTTGCTTAATAAAACTGAAGTAAAAACGAAGTAAATGATATTAATACATTATAGATAGAAATAAAATTCAATTAGCTAAGTACCACGTACACTATACGTCAAAAACCTACATTATTTTGTAATAATAAAGAATAATTGATCACTAAAAATGATGCCATACTTAATCATAAATATTACACTAGTCTCCTTCTACTCGTAAGATATTGACAAGACAAAATGTAACCCTATCATGACCATATTCAGTGTTAATCAATATCTGATTATCAAGGCTGGTGGAATCAACATGTTTTAGCAGTTCAATAAGTTCAGTAAATTTCATAAAGATTAAGTTATGTTGAGAATTAAATAAATTGTTTGTTTAACTTCGGCGTCAATATTCTAAAATATTCTATTTTAATAATAATGTATATTCCACCATTCTATATTTAAACATACTATATCCTGGGAGATGCGAGGGAAGTATGTATTTCTTATTTAGTATTAATATATGGCATAGTTTAGCGTACGATTAAAGATACAATGGAACTATAACATAAGATATAATAAAAAAAAAAAAATCGATATAGCAATTGTTTTGGTATCCGGTAATGTTAGGATAAAATGCAGTGAAATAGCTGACGAATTTGCAAGAAAACTATAGAAAACATAGCAGCAAAAAATATAGATGCCATGATGTACTACGATATAAAAAAGAGATCAAATACAACACTACACAAAACTGGCAAAACAATTGGAAAAATTCTAGTAACAAACTCAATAAAATAAAGAGTATTACAATTATACGACCCAGAAACTCTTCCACTAGGATTAGTAATGAAAAAAATTAATATAATTCGCATAGGACATACATGGCTAACTCAGGGTTTTCTAATGAAAAGAGAAGAACCTTTAATATTTTCAACATGTAGTGCACCTTTATCGATCAAAAATTATTTTTAAAGATAGATGAAAATACGACGAGGTCAAAATAAGTCACCACCTACCTGAAAGTTACGGATCACACCCAGAAAATTAAATTAAATTTATTCAATTTTTAAAATAAACAGAATTATTAAAACAATTTTCAATATATTTTTAATTATACAATAGTAAATTATTAAATTTCTATATACAGAGTATTCGATAATTCAGGAAACAGGTTTTTATTATTATTATTGTTTATAACTACCTGTATCCTTACTTAATAAACATTCAAGTTATTTACTTATGTAAGAAAATTGTATGCTAGTGGTCAAATCATATAATCATAAGAATAAAGATATAATAAAGTATAGCTCTAAATGTGATGTAAAAAATTATTTTAATCATTTTACTCAAGTACTTTACAACACTAAAAAAAAATACTAAATTTACAGGAAAGACAAAATAAAATAAACAATTCTTTACCATTTAATTACAAATAATTTTTTTATAAGACTAGTGTAAATTTTATACATAAATTAATTAAGTTTTACTAGCTGAAATTTTAGTATTTTTTAATCACGTTAATATAAAAATTATAAAAATATTGAATTGTATTACTATAATTTCCGATAGGCAACATTCATTAATATATAATCATAAATTAAGTGTTTTTATTTAAAATGTTGATTAATTATTTAACATAATATTATTTATTCACTATTAGTGTAATAGCAGTCATATATTTAAGGTACAAAATAACTGATTTATGAAGAATCATAATCATGAAAGTTATTATTGAAGAAGTTGGGTTCTGAATTATTTAGTTAGGGATTTCAGTAAAATATTACAAGTTTATGTTGATCCATAACTTTAGTTTAATACTATTTAATTATGTAAGCACGATATTTTTTAGCAATTAAAAAGTAGATTTTAATTTCAGTTTTTTAGTTTAATAATATTTAAATATTTAATAATGTAATGCCTTTTAATTTAAATTATTTAATATTAAGAATTTAAATTAATTACTTACACATTTTTATAAAGCCTAGTTTATTTTCAATAAAGAAGAATACTCCTATAAGAGTTATGATACAACTTACCAATTTAATTGATATGTAACTTAACACATGATAAAGAACATAATGGTTTAATAACATCTGAAAATAAGAAAATTTTAATAGGATAATTTATAGTCATAAGTAATACATTAATACTTTTAAAAAGAAACAATAACAATTTGTTTATAACAGATTTTTTTGATTCTTAAATAAAATCATTTTATTTTTTGAAAGTTTTATGTTATAAGAACTTTTATATATTAATTACTTGTAAATTTAAAATTCTTAAAAACTATGAAATTATTGGCACAAATATAATTATTTTTAAAATTAACCAATACGTGTAAATATCTTTATTTTTAATTAAATATCAACACTGATTTTTTAATTTTTTCAAATTATTGAGTTAATATACAGGTATAATACACAAGGGATTACAAATATAGGTAGCTAATTGGTTTTTTATGACATTGCTGTCACAGTCACGGATTATTTATTATCAATTATAACTATCAATAGATATACTTTTTGTATTGTCAGTTAGTGTATTTATAAACTCACAACAATGTACCTTACTATCATTGATAATAGCAATGCTGTGTACCTGCTAATATCGATGTCATAAAAAATCAATTAGCTACCTGTATTTGTAATCCCTTGTGTATTATACCTATATATTAACTCAAAAATTTGAAACTTTTAATGATTATATCTAATAAACAAATTAAGTTTCATTAAAAATTCAAATGCCATTTACTATTGAATTAAAAACTCAAACATTTTATTAAATTAAAAATATGTGTTACCATTTAAAAAAACAAAGTTGACACCCTTACCAGGCATAAGGGATGAACTTAAAAAGTATTACATAGTTAATAATTCAAGAATAATGTGTAACTAAAGATAATAATAAAAAAAAATTTTTTAATTATTATTATTCTGTAAGTAATTGAGTGGGTTATGATAAAAAAATCACCCTGTATATATATATATATATATATATATATATTTGTAGTGTGACGCTTAGGTACTCTCGTGTGTGTATTTTCAGTTTTCGATTAAAGTAATACAGGGTGATTTTTTTATCATAACCCACTCAATTACTTACAGAATAATAATAATTTAAACATTTTTTTTTTTTATTATCTTTAGTTACACATTATTCTTGAATTTTTAACTATGTAATACTTTTTAAGTTCATCCCTTATGCCTTGGAAGGGGGTCAACTTTGTTTTTTTAAATGGTAACACATATTTTTAATTTAATAAAATGTTTGAGTTTTTAATTTAATAGTAAATGGCATTTGAATTTTTAATATAACTTTATTAGCTTATTAGATATAAACATTTAAAGTTTCAAAATTTTGAGTTAATATACATGTATAATACACATGGGATTGTAAATACAGGTAGCTAATTGGATTTTTATGACATTGCTGTCTCAGTCACGGATTGTTTATTATCAATTATGATTATCAATAGATATACTTTCTGTATTGTCAGTTAGTGTATTTATAAACTCATAACAATGTGCCTTACTACAATTGATAATAACAATGCTGTGTACCTGCTAATATCGATGTTATAAAAAACCAATTAGCTACCTGTATTTGTAATCCCTTGTGTATTATACCTGTATATTAATTCAAAAATTTGAAACTTTAAATGATTATATCTAATAAACGAATTAAGTTTTATTAAAAATTCAAATTCCATTTACTATCAAATTAAAAACATTTTATTAAATTAAAAATATGTGTTACCATTTAAAAAAACAAAGTTGACCTCCTTACAAGGCATAAGGGATGAACTTAAAAAGTATTACATAGTTAAAAATTCAAGAATAATGTGTAACTAAAGATAATAATAAAAAAAAATGCTTAAATTATTATTATTCTGCAAGTAATGGAGTGGGTTATGATAAAAAAATCATCCTGTATATTAATACACACATTTGTGGATAATTATTATTAAATCATGTCTCAAAATTATTATTAAATGTTTGTTATGGTATAGTTTCAAATTATAATTAAATTATAAAGTTTTTTATACATAAAATTATTAATTAAAAAATTTAACTGGATTTAAATTTTTGTTTTTGTAATTATCAAATTTTTATGAAGGAGTATTTGTTATCAAAAACAAATTATCTTTAGTTCACTTCTTAGAAAACCATGGATTTTAATCTAAAGAAGTAATCAGCATTTTGACTTTTCTTTTTGTTTGCTCAATTTTAGATAGAAATCTTAAAAACGGAAGAATTATACTTTTTGAACGCAAGAAGAATGATAAGAATAAAATAACGAATTTAACTTGTCATTGTTTAAAAATTAATCTTTACTAACCAGAACTTTTGAATGAACACTAATAATAAACTTGTTGAAATTAATCGCATTACTACATGGAACAAAAGTAATCGTTATAATAACCCAATTTTGAGTTGGCATTATGATTATTATACTATATTTCAATGGATTATCATACGTTTTGTAATAAATATTATATATTGTTTTGTTAAAATGAATATAAAGTTTTCATAAGCAATAGTATTAAAATATCGTATAAAAAATAATAAAAAATGTATTTAAAATACTAATTTAAAACTNCTAAAAAATATCGTATAAAAAATAATAAAAAATGTATTTAAAATACTAATTTAAAACTTAAAATAAAAAAATATTAAACTTAAAATAAAGCATTTTGAATATATAAAAAGTCACAAAAATTATTAAAAAATTTAGGACACGTTTTTCCAGATTGACGTTCCCATATTAAAAAAATTATAACAAATTTGAATTTAACATTATTTATACTTTTTAGTTTTAATTTAATACTTTAAATGTATTTTTAATTTTAAATAATATTAGTCACAAGTGATCAATTCATATTATGAAATATTATATTGGAAAATGCATATATTTCTAAGTTTTATTTTTAGTGCAAGACTACTAATTATGTATTTTAATGTTTTTTCCATTGAGTTTTACATTAGTAAATTTATATTTTTTATTTTTTTTTTTATTGTCGTTACAGGTTAGGCTGGCAAATAGAGAACGACAGCGGTTATCCAGATTACAAAAAAAAGAAATAGGATTAGCAACAATGTTACTTTGCGTAGTTGTAGTTTTTCTGTTGTGCAACGTTTGGGCTCTTATATCGAATGTAATTGAAGCATTTTATGGTATTACTGTAGATGAATTAGTTAAAGTTAGCAACCTGTTAGTAACAATTAATTCATCGGTCAACTTTGTCATCTACGTTATATTTGGTGAAAAATTTAAGCGATTGTTCTTTAAGCTATTTTTCCCACGAGGTTTCTGGTGGTGTGGATGGCATCCATTTGGTGTAGATCGTGGTGTAGATGACTATCAAGTAGATCATGTTGGTATTGAGGATAGTGTCATTTCATGCAATGGAGTTGGAGGTAGTCATTTCCATCATGTTAGTTCAAAAAGTATTGATAGCCGTTTATACTCTGTACGGCGATCACATTCGTGTCATCTTCATCGATCTGCGTGTAATAAATTTAAACGGTCACGATCACATTGTCAAGCTATTAAACTCGTTGATGGACCTAGTAATCAGAACGATAGATTTGGCGGAGGACATGTATTTTATTCGAGAAAATCTAATAGTGGAATGTGGGAAACTTCTACTACAACTACGACCAATGTACATCAAATCTAAATGGTCAACGACCAAAATGGGTAATGGCATACAGGGTGATTTGAAAATGATTGAATGCCTAAATTTATAATCATGGTCTTCCCGTGAATTATTGAAATGTGTGTTTTAAACATTTTTACTTCTCATCAAAGATCTAAGATGAAGTTTTTAAAAAATAAATAAATCTCATTATTTGTTCACAATAGTTTTAATTGGTGGTAGTGTTGCATAACATGTCGTTATAAATAAAAAATATAATTTGTGTTAAATCGCTTTCAAGCTGTTTAAAAAGTTATACAGCTAAGTGCTTTATATATTGTATGTAATTAACGACAACTAAAAAAAAAAAGAAGAATTCACATAATTTATGGAGATTAACTTTGAAGCCTCGCTCACATTTTTTTATTTTATTTAATGTAATAATGACAGTTGTATTAAAAATTAATGAATTACATAATTCTAAACAAAATTTAAGATACAACTATGAATAATGGTTAAATTATTTTTACTTTTTAAAATATTATTTATTATATGAGAATTAAAATGACATTTTTTTATCGAATTTTCAACTACAGAGTATCTTAAATATTATGGCCACACGTATAAATATTATAAACAAATATACATATTTTTACTGTAACTATGTACTTACTATTAAAAGTATGAAATGTATAATTAAGCATTAAAAAGTTTTTAAAAATAAGTGAGTTACCTATTTAAGAATTAATGTACAAATTATAATTTAAAAATAAACAAATTGATAAAAATAATTAAAACTGCAATAGTTTGTTTTTACTTTCGACGCGAAACTGAGAAAGTGTTAATTTTTACTGTCATTCTTTTTTTTTTTTTTTGAGTCTGACTTTAAAAGTAATCAGCTCTTACAGGCCAACTTTGATAATTTATATGACAAACAAATCTGATTATAATCTAGTTGACCCAATCAATATCCAAGATTGTAAAAAAACAATATCTTAATTTTAGAAATTTAGAAAAGTATATCATAATTAGGCTACTGTCGAAAATGGGAAAAATTAAAATTTTTTTTGCATATTAAAATTTTAATAAATAAAAATTTTAAATTTAAACACAACATACCTTGTTTAAATTTCTTATGATTTCTATTCAAACAATAAGCTTAACTACATTAAGGATTTGAATGAAGATACCTACTTAAGTCAATTTTTTTCTTAATTTCTATATTTGAAAATTTTTCCAAATATCTGCATTTTATAAACTAATACCAAATTAAAATTTATGCTGTAAACTATAATATTAAAAAAATAAAAACACTCCAAATTAATTTTTAGTAGGAAAAAAAAATATATACAATACTTGTTAGAAATATACATTGATAATGAATTATGAAATATTCCAAAACGTCTGTGTCCTTTAAATACATATCAAATAAAAGCTTTTTAAAAGCACTTTATAATGAAAAAAAACGTCCCTTTGATTATTTTTCTATGAATTATTGACTTTTAAAGCCAAAAATTGCAATATTTCTGTAAAACTTAATCCCTTTATTTTGCTATAAATCTACTAAAAATACATTGGTCCTAATGAAATTTAATTAAGTATACTAGAGATAATAAGCTTATTTTTAGTGTACTTTTTATAAAAATTCAATTAAAAATCTAAGTATAGTAAAGGGTTGTAACCCACATATGGAAAAATATATTTTTCAACTCAACTTTGACAATTTTTCCGAACGTATGACAACTTTAAACTATATGAAATTAAATATTTTTAAGTGTACTACAGTAATAAAAATATTTGTCAGTTGTTTTTCTATGAAAAATCATCCACCAAAGTAAAATAATTATTTTATTTTCAATTTTTTTTTTATACCAATGTAAAGTTTCTTAAAAGTACTTAATGGTTAAAAAATTTTAAATGTTCCCAAAATATATTTTCTATGAATTATAAAACTTAAAACCAAAAATCTTACAATTTATGTAAATGTTTGACAAAAATGAAAAAAATGGAAATAGATCAATAATAAAACATTGTTTGTATAATGACGAGAACATTCCCAAGTTATCATTGGTTAAATGCAGTGCTTAAAACATAACGAAACAAATTGATGCTTATAACTGACGGTGTATATAATTTATTATGCTTTTACTATTATGAAGTGATTAATTTCGACCATAATTTTAATCCCGATGCTTTTAGAGATCACTTAAAAAGATTGTTGTTAGAAAATTCAGGTGACATGTGTTTTAACAAACATATGTTTATATTGTCAAAACAAAAATACAGTAGTATGAGTATTAAATACATTTCTTATACTTCATATTCCCGTAGGATTGTTTAATAAAAGTGTATATAGTATAGACTATAAACGATTGATGAAATTTCGAATGGATAATATATGATAAAATAAATAAATTAACAAGCCTTTAATATTTGAGTGAAATTTAAAAAAAATAGAAATTGTAATATTATAAAAATATACATATTATTGTAGAATTTAACAGATTCGCATAGAAGCGTTTTATAATAGAGATTTTAATTAATCACTGTCAAGTATCACCTATATTTGTAACCACTGTGCTATGATCTAAAATTATGATATTTCTTCATTAAAAATCAATAACATAAATTATAAAATCCAAAAGTCAAATTTAAAGCTCAAATAAAATTATAGATTATCTATAATAATAAAATAATATGAAAATAATGAATAGCATTAAACATAATTGATCATTATAAAAACGCATAAAAAATTGATCATATTTTACTAAGTAGCTAATACCGCCATATTAGGTGTTCAATTTAACATAACTTGTTGTATTGAAAACAAATATTTCAAAATAAACATTTGAAACATTTGTGGCTAATGCAAAATATGAACCTGAATTTCACTAAATATTTGTATTAAATTCTTTTTAGAATTATTAATTATTTACTCCTTAGTTTATTTTATTAATTTTCAATTATTTATGGTTACATATGCATGATTTCCCGAAACACTTTTAATGTATCAAAAAGAATGAGAAAACCTACAAAGCCTAGTGCAATGGAATCGAATCCTATTATGGCGTATTGTATCATTTTTTAAAAATTCAAGATAAATCCAAAGATAATAACAAATAGTAGCTTGTTAATATTAGTTGGAGCGTTATAGAACTGTATTAAATATTCAATGTCTTCAGTCAAAGATAAAATTTATAAAGTCATGTTAAAGATTATCACTCATTCCTGTTCTATTCATTAATAAGTCTTTGAAGCTTTGTTGAGGCTGAGACCCCAACGCATATCAAATTTTTTTAAATTAAAATTTTAAAAAATTTTCTAAGATATCTGTGCTTTTTAAATTATATCAAAATAAATCATATTAAATGTACTCTAAATCTAAAAAATAAAAACATTCCTATAATTCCGATTTTCTATGAATTATCTAAATGCTATTTAAATCAAACTTTGTGAAATTTTATTTAATACTTTTTTTATGAAAAAGGTACTCTTGTATATTTAAATTATTAGTTTACACTCTTATGTTTTAATTTTAAAAGATAGTGAAAAATGATAATAATAAAATTTATTTTATCGTCAATATTTTGATTTAATAGTAAAGATTCGAATCTAATAAATTTGTAATTAATGAAAAATTACTTGACGTTCATAGATAAGTCAATTTAGATAGTCATTAATAGGAAATATATACCACACAATGTAGTAAACATCTAAAGATTATTTTCGTTAAGAAAAAAATTCAATAGTTAATAAGGTTTATTAAATTATTATTTATATTTTGAATTACTAGTTACTAGAGTTTTATTCTTATTATTACAAACATTTATATTGAGAGTTTTTATAAAATATATTTATAAGATAATTTAATTCAGGAAAAAATACTCAATGATCCTATATTTATACTTAAAGCGATTAGTGATTAGTTTATCTTTTTAGTTCCTTAGAGGCTCGTTTAACGTGCCGTAACACTCAGTTTTCGCTTGGTTATCAATCATATTGAAGCCACAACAAAAAAAAATATGTTCACATATTTTCATCATTCTTCAAACACATTCTTCATTTTTGTTAAGTGGTCAATATTTTTCTTTTTATGATACCTCGAGATAATTTTTGATATTACTACAATATATGTTCCATATTTTCAATTTCATACAAGGAAATATTGCACTTTTTAAAACACAATGCAGAAAATACCCCCAACATAATGGAGATAACACATAGTTAAAACCATATTGATTAAAATGACTACCATATTTATAATATACTACCATATATTTAAAAAAGTTAGGTGAAATTTTTTCATGAAGAATGGTTTTTAGCTTCGATGCGAAGCTGAGAAGGTATTGGTTTTACTAAGATGTGTTATTTTTTTTTTTGTGTCTGTTACCACTTTTTCTCAGCTCTCACCGAACCGATTTCTTTCAATTATACGTCAAAAGATCACAAATCGTATCTAGTCGAAGACATTACCCTTAAAAATTGAAAAAAAATCCCTCGTTTCCCGTAAATGGGGGAAACCTCCAAAAAAATTACAAATTTAAAAATCGCTAATTTTCAAAATTTTTTCAATTTTTTTTACTAAAAACTGCCATAACTTTTTTAAAAATAACCAAATAAATATAATTTTTTTTATATAGATGCATGATGTCATTACCTTTCATTTGATATATTTTTTTTTTATATGTGACCCTTTACTTGCCCACAGGGGGGGATTTAAAATGACTACTTTTTTACAAAAAATTAACTTTTTCAACTTAACTTTTGAAAATGTTCCGGAAGGTCTGACACTTTTATATATATCTTAAATTAAAGCTAATGTAATATACTTTATAATGGTAAAAAAAAATTTCGGACTTTATTTTATCTTCATGGTGAAAACAGACATTAAACTTAATAAAAAAAATACGATTTTTGTAAAAAAATTCTTTTTTATATTTTTAACTTTATAATGCTATAACTTCTCGAAAGATGTATGGATCAATATAATTCTTTTTTTTGTAGATGCATGATGTCTTTACCTATCATTTGGTATATTTTTTTTATAAATCTGACTTTTTACCTGCCTACAGGGGGGGATTCAAAATGACAACTTTTTCACAAAAAATTGACTTTTTCAACTTAAATTTTGAAAGTGTTCCGGAAAGTCTGACACTTTTATATATATATTAAATTAAAGCTAATGTAATATACTTTATTATGGTAAAAAAAAATTTCGCACTTTATTTTATCTTCATGGTAAAAACAGACATCAAAGTGGATGAAAAAAATACGATTTTTGTAAAAAAATTCTTTTTTATATTTTTAACTTTATAATGCTATAACTTTTTGAAAGATGTATGGATCAATATAATTTTCTTTTTTTATGGATGTATGATGTCTTTAACTATCATTTGGTATAATTTTTTTATAAATCTGACTTTTTACCTGCCCAAAGGGGGGGATTCAAAATGACAACTTTTTTAGAAAAAATTTACTTTTTCAACTTAAATTTTGAAAGTGTTCCGGAAAGTCTGACACTCTTATATATATCATAAATTAAAGCTAATGTAATGCACTTTATAATGGAAAAAAAAATTTCGTACTTTATTTTGTCTTTAGGGTGAAATTGGCTACCAAATGCTATTTTTGTGTGAAAATTCTCGATTTTATTTTTTTATTTTTAACTTTATAATGCTATAACTTATTGAAAAGTGTATGGATCAACATAATTTTTTTATGAGAAATAATAATTTTTAATAATCCCTTTTTCATTCGATATACTTTATCGGAATCAGGATATTAATAACGAACTAGCAGATCATTTTTGATCTGCATTCATTTTGAATGCTTTTGGAATAATCCACCTATTTTTTAAAATTAAACACTATCTAAAGATTTGCATCGAAGCGTTTTTTATGATAGTGATTTTAATCACTGTCAGATATCATTATACTTGATCCAAATATGTCACGTCACCACTGTGCCGCGACACCCCTGTGCTGGGTTTTTTTTATTGTAGGAGAATTTTAGCTCTTTAAATAAGACTGTACTATACGCAACACTTTATGGAAAAAATTATATTGGTAAATAATTTTTCGTAAATTTTTACTTTACTCAGTATATTTTATTTTTAACTACTTTTAAAATTCTTTAATTTTGCATGAGATGTTGTGGAGTTCATATGGCAAATTTTTGAAATTGAAAACAAAATTGGCACATTTCTTTTCAGATTTTCTAAAAAAATGTAAGAATAGAAAATTAATTATTTATATTTTGAATATAGACAAATATATTTTTATTATTTTACTATAGCAAGTGTAGGGTGGGTTTTAGAAGTATCGATATTAACTATAGAATTTTAAAACTATTATTATTAATAGTTTAACATATCACAAATAGAGTTTAAAAAAAAGAGATCATATAAATAAAATAATCATAATAAATGCAGGTCCCGTGAATCCGCATGTTTTGAACAACGTAGTGTTGAAGTAATGAACATGCGTCTTAACGATCTACAATCTAATATACACTTAAGTCTAATTAATCGAAATAAACGCAACATACGACAAACGATTGTCACTACTGAATCAAGAAATTAATACAAGATCACGAATTAACCACTAAATGAAACAAAGGTAAGTTTGAATATTTATTTACAAGCTTTACTACTTAAATTTCACGCTGAAAACATATGCTCAATTTAAACTAAAAATGCTGAATAGTTATACACGAATCAAAACCCGAGACATTTATCAAACCCCGAAATAACACACCCTCTTTTGTCGCTTAAATCTTTTGTTTATTACAAAACGAAAAGAAAATATTTATTTCAAGCCTTTGATTTTTCTTTATTTTAATAATAAATTGAAAGACTTTTTAATATTATGATGTAGTTTAAAATCAATAAAAGAATAATTTGTGGAATAAGAATGATAAAATATGATACTAAATTAAAGAATTGAAACAATATTCAATTATACATAGAAATATATTTTTTTAATTTTAATAAAACTATTACATTTATTAATAAGGTAATAAATTAATCTTAAACAATTAATTAATAATTACTTTGAAGTTAAAAGACAGTTTTTACATCAAATAAAATTTTCTGGAAAATAATTTCTTATGTAAATATTATATTGTCGAAATCAATTTAAAAGTTTTACTTGAATTTTTGTCACTGACAGTTTAAAATGATAGCGATAATAACAATAAAGTATATGTATAACAAGTGAAAAATTAGTAATTTGTATTATGTTTAGTAAGCAATTTTTAAACGAAAAGTCTCTTTGAAAATATTTTACCATGCGACAGTTATGACTTCCTTCCTCCTGTGAAATTTAGGTTATAAGAATACTATAGTTTTTAAGTTATTATAATACTTCCGTTAGTATGATGAGTGATGACGAAAACTGGGGTTTTCCCTAGAGGTAAAAATGATGTATAAACTCAAGTGTACAACGGTACACTTTAAGCCATAACAGGTGTATTTTTATATTATCCTCAAAATTATAAAGAAAGAAGTATTTGTATAAACTAAATTCCAATAAAACAAATCAAACAACAATACGTAAATTTGACAATAATAATATACTGAATATTGGAACCTATTCTGTGGAAGAGACTAAACTCGGATTAGATATATTATGGACGTGTTATAGTAAACCTTGTAAAGTTTATCTTAGAATATAATATTAATACATAATATTGTAAGTTATAATAGGAATCATGATAATATTGTATGAGCTGTTGTTTTTATTTCATTTAAGTTTTAAACTTCATGGATGAAAATGTTCATATTAAATAAGTATTTACTTTTTGTGTTGAACTTTAAATAAATCTATCAAACCATAACTAATTCATAGGGTTCGTTAATAATTTTAATAAAAATTGTTATTTATATTAAATTTTTATAGAGCTTAATGAAAATTTATCTTAAAACGTTTTTATTGATATAATTAAAAATAAATATTATTTATATATTCGAATGTTTATTAATAACTTATATTATAAAAATAATAGATAATCGAAAGTTTCTAAACTATACTATATTAAGATAAGATAAAGACAATATTTGGAGGAACTTAAAGCCTGTAAAATCATGAAATTTACTTCTCTAAACATGAATAACATATGTTTCGAGCTGGTTCAATATGTATAATAAATATATAAATAATTGATAAATACGAATATTAAAAATAGTGGACTGTATCGTTTTATTATAATTTACTTGTAAGCTGGCGATTTGTCCGTGCGAGTACGTAGATCGAACATAACTACTTCATATATTGGTCGGCGACCATCATTATTATAGATATCTCTTAATAGCGCGATAACGAGCGCGAACAACATACATTACATTATAACATCTAATCAAAATGTTGATATACAAAGTAAATTGCATGTTTAATAGGAGTTAAACAAATTGTATTATTTCATTTAAAAGTATGGAATACTAAAATTATTTTTAGTTCTTCGAATTAATAATTGATTGGTGCATTTAAATTGTTTCTAACTATTTTATACATTTAAAATTTCTTTAGCTCTTTTATTTTGATATAACAAGATGCCAATATTGTTGTTACAAATATTTTAAATGTTGATAGAAGAGCATAATGTGATTTTGAAAAAATATACTAGAAGATATATTGCTTACACTGAAAAACTAGTAATACGTCTTTAAGAATAAAGTCTGAGCTTAATACCTCAAATGTTTCAGATGGTATATCAAAGAAATAAGAATATTAATTACTAATCATAGGTTACAACTATTTTTTAACAATTTTTAAATAAAATTATTAATTAATTGAATTTATTTTTAACAGTTAAAAATAAATTGTGTAGATAAACCATTATTTATTTATTTTTGTACATATGACAAGATAGGGCACGGTAATATAATTAATAACACAAAATTAAGATAATTTCATAACATAAAAATAATACAATTAAATGAACTAATTTACGAGTACAAAATATTTAAATTTAGATTGAAAATAATTATAAAAAAACATTTACATTAGTGAAATCAAACAAATCATTATTATATTTGTTACAATTAAACGTAATCCGTATGACCGGTAATTTGATTTATTACTTAGCACGATTAAGTTAAATATATTAGAAGATCTAATATTAATAGGGGGAACATGAAATATAAATTTCTCTCGGAATGATTTTAAAAATTGCTAATAATGTCATAATACTATAAAAATAATTAAAGGGTAATGAAAAAAATTTTATTATTCAACTTAACATTTTATGTGAAAATACCGTAATTTTACAGATACTCAAATTGTGGTTAAAATATTTATGGTTGTGAAGGACAAAGGGTTTATTCGGAATTAGCATTAAAACATTTATCCTTATAGGTGCTAAAACCTGATAAGCATGATTAATATTTAAAAAAATCTTATGAAACTTAACAAAACTTAACGCAAATACGTATTCCGAAAATAATATTGTTCACGAAATACGTATCTGTGATAATGGCAACATATACTACCATTATTAATTAATAACATTTTTCCATTTTCTATAAACTAGCAAAATGTGATGACATTAGCGATAACGTAACTGAGTGATAAGTTCATAAGGGGAATATAAGAGGTTTTTTTCGGTCGAGGTTTCAGTATTTGTTAAGTGTTGATAATGGTAATATTATAATATACCATATAATAATATGGTAATATTATTTCTGAAAAACGTAACCATGATTTTTTAGTAGTTTTTGTGGCTTTTTATAATATTAGTATTTTTTAGTTTTAAAATAATAATTTTAATTTTATATAATATTAGCTACATTGAAACATTTTCATTATATGAATATTAATTTGTATACAGAGTTTTCAGTAAGATAGCAAACAGGTAAATTGTTACAAACAATAAAAACACGTTTCCTTACTTACTGAACACTCAGTTTAAATTTGAAGCAATATATATTTTAAGTAGAATTACACTAACACAATGGATTGTTGTTTGTAACGTTTTCGCCGTATCTAAAGTTATCGTTTACATTTGTTATGGAACTGTAACCACGTTTGTTTTGGCTAATTTTTGTTCGTCGGGAAAGATAATATCAAATAATATCTATCATCAACATTATTTTTTTTTTTTAAGTAATTAAATTAATTCTTTTTAACTTAAAAGTATAAAATTTGACTTAAAAATCAAATTGACGTAATTAGTTGTAAACGAAGATATTTTTAAAGAAATTTAAAAAGGTTCAGAGAACAAAAGTAAAATTACCGTTCTTTTGTATAATATTGAGCTGTAATTAATCACACGTCTTGAAATTTACATTTATTCGTTCACTTGTATTCATAATTATTAAGTGTGACTTACTCCTACTATTGAACTGAACGAAACGAAATCAACACAAACGATATATCCGGTGTTGCTATCTTTCCTATGTTATTGTCAAATAATGTTCATAGTACCAGAACGTACAGCAGATGGCAGTAAATAACTCGTTGGTGTTTGTTCCATTTAAGTTCCCCCGGTAAACAGCTGTGACTGTTGTGCCTCGTGTTGTGCGTTAGCACATTCAACCCGTTAGTAGACGATGTAGATCAGCCAGGAAAGCACCGTTAACGTTGAGTGATATTAAAAGTTCATACCTATATTTTGTACAAAATAGTAATCTTAAATGTTTTGTGCGTTGAAATATTTCAAACTAGTTAATACATGTTTTTGTGTTATAAAATAAGTAAAGTTTGTAATTTTTTTTAAAAATTGAAAGGAAAGGTTTTTGCATAATGAAAATGGATTTTTAAACTAATAAAGAATTAATTGCTCTAAAAACGTGAGTTATTTAATAGTTATTATCTAATATACATAATATTATACGGATTATTTAGTGAATACTGAGATATTCCTGGTGAATTTTCATATAAATCACTTTAACGAATGTACATATAAATTCATACTTGGCTACAAAATACAAGGAATCTTTATACTTGTTAAAAAATAAACATATTAAAAAATTATTAAACAATTTATGAAAAATGTTGATTTATTTAAAAAAAAAAAAAACAGATTATTCAGTTAAAATGTCAGACTTTTCAGTTATTAAATATAGTTTTCTATATAATGGTATAACAAAGAAATCAATTTTCTTCACCGATATACTTATATTGATTACTTCTATAAACTTTTATAAGTAATTTTTTCTATAGTTGATCCTCGATTCCTAATTTTTAATTAAAACCCATTCTGTGTCACTTTTTATTTTACTCTATATAAAAAAATTAAAATTTTAATAAATAAGGCAAGATTTGCATTTATAAATTTTGTAGGGGTGTATCAGAAACTAAATCAAAAAATATTTCTACAGTACTATATTATCATATGAAAAAGTTGCATAAACTTAGGATATACTATACTTGCAAACACTTTTACAAAGCGGTTCAAACAAATTTTATAAATGCATATAATAATAAATGAATACAAACCAACCAAATAAAAAGACGTTGTTATCAAGTTCAATATATTTTCGTTAGTGATTATTCTTAAAAAAAAAAGTTTAGTAGATTTCCATTTGGCATTATTAGTATTATGTAATACCTGTGTTATGTCGTATCGATTTTGTTTAGCGCACCCACTATTCATAGGCGTATTTTTACAAAAGTGCAAGGAAGTAATAAATTAGATTAGTGGTTATCCTATATTTACTAGGTAGTTTCATAAATTCTCTACAATTGGAACATTATGTTCAATTGTTTATTTCGACATTGAATAAAATCAACATTTGTAGCAATGAAATTTTAGTTACACTAATTATAATACAATAAAATGTACTCTGTGCACTTAGTAATAATTCTTTTCGGTTTGTATGTGATTATTTGAGCTACCAATCAATCTAAAAATGTAATTTATTCTCGAAAACAGATTTATTACACTAAAAAAAAATTAACAATATTTAAAAAAATATGATTTAATGAACTTTACAATAAAGATGTAGTTTTCATTGTATATTAAATTTTTCTATAATTATCTCTAAAAATCATAGAAAAATTATCAACTAATCATAGAATTCAAACTAATCAAAAAAATTATTCTAATGCTAAGATCGACAAAAGAATTTGTAGTTATTATTAGTTAAATAAATTAGTAAAATAAAAAAGCACATAATTAATGGAGTATTACGTATTTGGGAATGGGAATAAGGTTTTATTTTATTTTAATAATTTTTTATTGTTCATTCACCCTTCCCAGGAGTACAAGTAAGGAAAAGGGGAGTCAAACATTCCCATTACGAATACATTATTTGTAATAAAATTAGAATTAGTATAATAGGAGATAATTTATTCATAAACCCCTCTCCCGAATAGTATATACCTATGAACCTGCCTCTTATCACTATTTTTATTCAAAAAATTAGACTGACATGCACAAAATTGTTTTAGATAAATAGAAAAATTAAAACTTCATATGAAAATGACTGCTATTTAAGAAATTCTATGATAATTTTGTAAAAGCTGTTATGTCAAATTTAATAACTTTTTCAGTATAACTCAAACAAATTTCAATATCATCGTATGCAATTGGGAATTTTTAAAATTTAAAAATCCAACTCCACTTTAAAATTTCTGGCATACGAAAGAAAACATCTTACTCTAAACATATGATAAACAATATCATACCCATTTTTGTGACATGTCAGTTTTTGGATTTAAGCTACAAAATTCTATTACATTTTCTTTTACGTTTTAATAATTTAATTAAAGAATGATTATCTAATGAATATTATCTGTCTTTTAAACAATAAGTAATTTAATATTTGCACCTATTTTTAAAAATTAACTTGCTAAAAAAAATTATATTTATTTTACCAATAAAAAAAACTTAGCAGTGTTTAGTTGGCAATTCAATTATGGTCTAAAAACTACTGTATTAATGTTCTCACTTCAAATAAATAATTTTCAAAATTGTTTGTTAAAACACTTTATTTTAGCAATATTACTTGATAAGAAAAGAATTCTCCTTTAATTATAATTACTCAATAAAAATGTCATAAAAAAAAAAAAATTATAATAATATAAAACTTGAAACTGTGACTAAAATAAATAAATAAATGTATCTTAAAGTACTACATTATATACTCTATTGTTCATCTTTCAATACAATTTTGAATATTATAAAAAGACAGGCGATAAATACATTTATGAATTGCAATAACAGAGTTGAAATGAATTCTGACCACGTACTTAATATTATAATCATCTTATAATTTAAAACACAAAATAAACATTAATTATAAATCATATGGTTGTGTACTTACCGTTTTTTACTTATTTATTTTATTAAAGTTGACCTTAAGTTAAAAATTATTTTTATACAAAAATCATACTTAAAAAAAAAATAATCTAATTTAGTTGTTAAAAAAATTACTTACAAAAAATATTTAAATTGTTTTTAAGTTTTTGTCCATATTATAATTTTTAAAATAACTTTTTTTATTTTGTGAACGTGGAATTTTATTTATACAGGTTGATTGACTACGTCTCATTCAAAATCTTTAAAAATTTATTATAATTTTTTTCTTTTCAAAAGTTAATAATATCCTATACTCTATAATTTAAAAAAAATAATAGGTCCGTTTACCCCCTTTAAATTAATATCAAATTAACATTTTTAATAGTAACGTATATATTTAATTAGCTTAAAATAAGAAAATGATCTACTGAGAAAATGACTGGTCGATAACAACTATTGAACCAGTATTTCAAAAAATATTTGCACTTTAATATTAGGATAGGAGGAGTAATTCGGGTCTGTTTATTTTCATCTCTGTAAATATAAACCACACTAGTAGTTGTGTACAAAGGTGCGCATTTTATTAAGTCTAGGCCATATTATAGGTTATTTCAAATTGTTCATGAAAAGTTAATAGTACTAAAATAAAAAGTAAAATAAAATATCTTATTTTTATCAGGAAATTAGATGTTACGATCAAGATAATACAACAAGGTAAATTTATTTTTCTATTTCCTCGAATAATTTTCGTACTTTATGCAACTAGAAATATTGCACACTTAAATATACCAAAACATTAAAGGAGATTAATAGGTTACGAAAGGTATCCACAATAGAAATAGGTCATAATATCGAATGGATAATGTGATGAAATTAACTACAAATCACGACTTAGTAATTATAGCGGGTCATGTTTGCACGATAATTGTGTAAACATGCGTCGGTGTTTTAAATTTTCAAAAACAAACTCCGGTGTCAACGGAATAAAAATTTCACTACAAATGTTTTTTGTGAAATGTTACACGTTTATAACACGATAACACGTCTATAGACTATATAAAAGGATAAGTATGTCAATTTTTATCCGTTTAGTCAAATAGTACAGAACGAATATCAATTGCATTTAGTCAAATAAACAGTAGTAAATATAAATGTGAGAGTTTATTTTCTCCTGTTATACTTTTGACCACTATGACAAATAGTATTTAATTTTTACAGTTCTTACTGTAGTGGTACGACGTAATTTAATACTTACAACAATCCAATAGCATTTACGACCCTATTAGTTTACCTTGACACCAGGACACCGTACATAAGTCGATCAAACTTTTGCGTGTTTATCATTTCTGCCGCGGGTAGTCATGTTCGGGCATTACCCATAAACATTGTAGTAGATACCGCTACTACAGCTCTTTACTGATTATAGATTCTAGTAAGACCCAGTCATTTTTAAATGTTTGATAATAATCTGAATTCGTCATCGCATTTAAATAACAGCTTCACGGTACACCGTAATAGCACAAAATTCAAATTGATAAAATGAGTATTGTGAATTTCACACCCTAGTGACCGTCAATACTAAGACTTTATTGAATTGTAATCGCCCGTCGTCTACAATTGTCGTAAATAATTGTAATTGATCGTTGAACGGATAGAATAATCGTGTTATAATGTTACTAATTAATATTTTAGTTAATATTATTAATATTTTTAATTGAAATTTCCAAAATACAATGATAATAAGAAAAAATTAGTTCCAAATGTATAAGTTCCTCCAGTAAAAAACAAATGTATAGATTTAACAATAAACATAAACAATAAAACATTTTATTTTGCAACATACAAAAACAACATATTAATTAAACATAATTAATATGTTGTTTTTAGCCTAAACAATATTGAATCACAACAAACGTATACCAAACCTTTATTAGCGTTATTGCATTAGAGAAATTTTCAAATGTCATGTAATTTTTAAATTATATTTATTTCATGTGTTAAGTATCCATTCATTTATGTCCTTTCGTAAAATTATTTTTTAGTATCTGATAAAACGATTAAGCTACCAACTGATGTTGTTTTTGCATGATTTCTCATATTTTATTATATTTCGAGTAGGTCTTGATTTCATCTCACGACAATTTATTTACAACTTGAAACACGTTGTCTCGCTTTATGTCTAAGATGCAAAACATACGTGTTTTTTAGTTGTCTCGTCTCATATTCCTATGAAATTTTTGCTAAGTAAATAGTTTAAAAACATTTATTTTACAATTTACCGAGCAAACTGTGTACGTTCAAACTAGAAATGCAAGTTTCCGGGCTTTATTAATAACTCGAACGCAACCAAGCCGCGTAAACATGTGACAGCTTGTGGTTATTACAAATGCGTAATAATTATGTATTGGTAATAGATATCGAGAAAAAAGTCAACCTTATATTGGATAACAACTTTCATGCGCAACGACAACGAAGGAGGAATAATAGACTTCTTACTCGCTATATTGCAAACCCGTACGAATCTGGTTTCTCTGATGACTTTCCATTATTCCTCCTTATTTTCACAAGAAAAAAACAAAATACTGTTATTTCCTTGGGAAGAACAATACGCTTACTAGTGTTAAGACCGGTTTGCGCTGTAACATATAAAATAAAACAAAAATGCTCAATAAGTACTCATACTGGCATCGTTCGAATGATCTAGCAGAAAAATTATTCCTCTTCGTCTATTTATTATTATTGTGGAGACTACCTTCGAAACACTCTGGTAGGCTTGTGACAAAGAAGGGGTTAGGAACAATCTGGCAGATTTACTGATTTGGAATTATGATTTTATGTATGCTGTCACGTCGAGGAAAAAATTACTCGCTTTACAACTAGAATAAAGTTTTGTCTCACGATATTGTGTCCACGTTTCTGTGAACATTAAACCAACAATAGAGATTTATTTTGAAATTTCAATTGCACGACTACATAATTCGGTTTGTTTCTAATGTTTTAACATTTTTCTATGCAGATATGTCGTTTCTCTAATGTAAATAATTATTTCAATGTTCAAGATGAGTACATAAAGATTGAAATAACCACTTAAAAGCATTGAACCAGTTTAGCTATGAAAACACGCTACTTCAGAAAATATTTTATTACGTAACAAAAACAATGAGAGAATAATCGTTGAAAATAAACTAAACAAAGTTTAATTAAAAATAGTATGACAGGTAATATCACGCAGTAGCCGTCTAAAATTTTAAGTAATCTGGTTATTACAAGAAAAATGAGAGAAAGGAATATTACGTTTACCAATTAAAATCCAATTAACAAACACGTGTCTCGTGACTTGTATGTCCCCACGTTTTTTTGTCACTAATCAAACTCTATAATATTTTTGTAACTAAAGCTATTAAAAAATAAAACACTAGTATCAAACTAAATTCAATGAGATTTGAAAGTGTTTTCGTTCAACAAAATAATTTTGTAGGACAAAAATGATTACTAAAATATAGTTTCTATTGATGATTTCTATTATCAATTACTTATTTAATAGACGTTTATAAATAATTACAATTATTTCTGAATAGAATCAGAGTTTTTGTAGTCGTATTAACAATATTATATCAAGGTATTGCCAATCAGGTCCTATTTGTATGTAGTACAACACATTGTTTGTACCATAAAAACAAACTCATGTTTGAATTCGAAATTATTAGGTTGTTAATGACTTAATGTAATATTAAATATAACACATTCGTACTATCAATGGCTAATTCTTTGTTTTACTTTTTCAAATTACTATATCCGAAACACTACTTTTTCATGCAACATAAAAGAGAGCAACGATATTTTAATAGTATATGACCAATGGTCAATGACTATAGATAATATGCTAATAGAGTGACAACACCATGATAAAATTAAAACATTACATTTTTGACTGATTACAGTGCATAAACACCAAAGGGGTGGGGATGCTATCCGAGGTGAATGTCCAACCGAGTATCTCTTTTGGCTTCAATAAAAAGCTGAGAAAGTTTAAATTTTACCTTAATATTGAAACCTAAAAAAAAAAAATCGTGTCTATCGCTTTGTGTGCTGAGCTTCTATTATATGCTATTATTGTACAATTTTTTAACCATATCTCAGATAGTATCTAATAGTTAATTATCTACGAAAACACTGAATATATTTAAAAGAATACTGCTTATTTGACTTAATGAGTTGGTGAAAACCGTTACTGCTGTAAGTTGCTGGAGTAGAACTTTTTTGCATGAGCAAATGTTGGAAGATGATCAAGAAAAATAGTAATAATAATGTGCTAGCGGTAGTACATAACATTGTTATTTGCATTAATTTATAATAATACACGCGATAAAGTAGAAAGTGGCAACTACTGAGCCGTCGAGACGGCTAGGCGAAACATGAAAATTGTAACAATACGCAATTTACATTATTTTTTTTGGGCCCTTGACTAATTTCTCTGGTTATACGAATAGCGAGTGATAATGTTTCCAGTCTGGAATCGGATCACCCGCACACATAGCAATAGTTGATGGTAAAAAGAAGTACGGACGAAATAAAAAAAAAGTCAACAACTAAACAGCGGACGTTTTTCATCTATTCCGATATCATTATTTCGTTTCTTTGTTTGCCGACCCACATTAGTAACTTGGTTACACGAAATCGGTAAATAATTTACGAGTGAAGGGGAACTGCACTGACTGACTGCCGTCCAAGCACACCGATCGCAGTGTAACGGTTTCCAGCGGTCTTGCGTTTTTCAAACCTTGGAAACGAGGCACAACGTCGACCGGCTCCAACGCCATCGCACCGAGAGATTCGTACCGAACAATAAAAACAGCTAAAGAAATAGCTACGAAAACAACATAATGCTATTACAATTCAATATTTAAACCACCTACGCCATGGAAAACTTTACGATCAGCGTTTAAATTGTAATAACTGTCAGCTGTTAATGTTGAAAATAGTTGTGGGTATTAATTTCACAATATATTAGCTAACACTGCATTTTATGTAGTTATTTGAAAACCCAATTGTCTAGCCCGCACACTGAGAATCTAGTTTTTTTAATTTCACTAATATCTAAAATATGTGCTCGTCGTTTCAAATAAAACGTCTGCTCTAACTGATGTATTTTTATTTTGCCAATATAGTCAAAACTTGATTGCAATGACTCACGTGCATAAAAACTTAAACCGTTAAAGCAAAAATTATTATAGTAATTGCAATTATTGCTAAAATAACTAAATGAAATACTTGAACTCTGTGTGAATGTATAGAAAAACGTTTTGTGGACAAATACTCCTTATTGTTTATACATAAAGTACTGTATTAATTATAACTAAAAAAATTATATTTTTTGTCCACCAAGTTTTTATGGATTCATTTTAAAAATTAGTTGGTATTTTAAAGGTGAACTACACGCAGCGAGACCATAGTAACCGACTTTGTTGTGTGTTGCGTGCATCCGGTACCAACAGTTTGACCTTAAGTACCACGATTTGGGTTAAAAACTACTCTGAATTTTGAAGTGTACAAAAATCGTTGTGTTTTTAGTGAAATATTTCAAAACCGAATAAAACAATTTGTGGCATTTCACATCGGATCCAAAGCATTTTGAACTATCGATTATTTATTATTGTATCTGCTGTTATTATACATGTACGGTAGATACTTAACGTGCTCGACTGTATGTTACATAAAAAAATAATATAACATTCAGAGTAAAGAAATAGGTATGTCCTCGAATACAAAACCGATCTGCTTTTCAGTGGTATTTTCACAACGATCACATACAGATATGTCTTATGCACTCTTATGGTGGGGTATCGGTGGCGGACGTTGACACGGGTATAAGATTTTCCATTGCGCTAAGGTCTAAGAAACCTTAAATGAAATTTCCCATAACATCTCGTGTAATAGAAACACATTTAACCACTTGCAATTGACCAGCGTAATCCGGCGCACGTAAAATTATCTCTCGCGGCATTATTGTGGGTATTCACTTTTATTTTTTAGTCGTTAAATTGTCAGCGTTATCATTTTCGTTGTTAATTCTTTGAATTACATGATGAGGTTAGACGCCGCACACTTGCCGTCGTTAACTATCCTTTGTATACAACTAGCACGTGATACGTTAGACGAACAATTGTGCTTTATTCCTTTTGTTTATATTCAATTTTTATGATTAAAATATTTTTTACGAGTAAGATACGATATGATTTGAAGCATAATATATTGTTATATACATTATTTTAACTCGTTAGCTAAAAAATATTCCAAGAAAAAAACAATAAAAATTTCAGAATTATACGACCAACTAAAATTAAGTAGCCATTAATGAAATTTAAAATTAATTAAATTAGTAATTTTAATATAATAAAATTTGCATTTTTTTAAATTTGTATAAATTAAAACAAAACTATGTTTTATTAACACAAATTATTATCGTTACGATTTTTAAGAATAGTTAAAACTACAAATATTAACTTTATTTTCTTATCAAAGTTATAAGAAAATTGTTTTGTAAATTATATATTAATAGTATTATTTTTGCTAAAGATTTAAGGCTATATAATAATTTCAACTGTTTAAAATGTAAAAATTCACTTTGAGGTTTTATGATTATTCTATTCAAATTGGTATAGATTTGAAACAGTTGATCAAATAAAACTGTAAATAAATGACGCAGTTAAAAAATATGGCCATAACAATTATGGCTAATATTTAAAATAGATTAAAATTTAAAATTTACCTTTGAATTGTTAATAATTTTATTTTCATCGTAATATCTAGACTATTATATATCTATACATCTATTCTCAATAGTTATATTGGTATTTAATTGATTATATAAAAAATTAGATGGACTTTTTTTTTAACAAATTATAAAAATGATTTAACAGAGCTAAAATAAAGAAACTTCAAGAGAAATTAATATTGTTTTATATCAAATTTTTAAAAGATTTTTTAAGAACTTTTTAAAAATAATACAAATCAATGTAATACAAAGATTAGATTATTTTTTAATTTATTAGTCGTATAATATACTTTTTTTTTGAGGTATATAAAATAAATTTGGTTAAGTTTTATCAATCAAATACTTATATGAGTAAAAAGTAGTAGTGATGAAATATTTTTAGCTACTTGATAGGCCCAAATTTTAATTTATTGAGTGATATATTAAAATTTAATTGATACCCATTGTTAAGTAAAAATACTTAGCACTAGGTATCCTCAATGTTGATTATTTTTTTGCTCGTCTGCAATAGTCTGAGATGATTAAAACACGAAGCTCGACTCCTGTTTATCTGAGCATGCTGATTGACCTTAAAATATATTGTCGTTCAATCTATTTTAACGAGTCCATGTCAAGTGAATATTTTAAAACACTTTTGATGTAGTTTATTAACTTCTTATATTTTTTATGGTACTAATACACAAGTTTACAAAACTATTCGCCAATAAATTAACAACCAATAAAGTTTATGATGCAAAAAATAATAATCAAAAGTCGGTCATTTCATACTAAATTTACTGTCCGGATGAATGAACATTAATTGTACAGTATTGCCCTAAATTCTATCTTTACTTTGATTTTACAATGTTCCTACAACATTAATCTAACACATCCATAAAGTAAAAAGGATACTTGATTCGAAAAAAAAAGAAAACGGAGTTGCTTAAAGATATTGAATTCGTGATCACGAACACACTCAACTTTCTGAAACCATTATCAGTGAACCTTATTGAGTCTTCACGTATTTTACAAAAGAAGAGTCTTATTTGGCATTCATAATAACCCGAAGTCAGTTTTGTTGTTATATTTAGGCTGTTCATATTTATACCAAAAGCATATCTGTATAATATATATCATATAAGGGATAACTGCATGACAAATGCTATGTAAAAATAAACAGTGTTTTGACATTCAAACATATTTACTTGTCTTTACTAACATGGTAATATATAATAATAAAAAAAAATAGTTTTTAGCCATAACTATTTTTTTATTTCAGCTCGTAATTATTATTAAAAAAAATGAAATCTTCAGATAACTTTTTTTATATTAATCTCTTCAAAAATGTTTATATGTTTTGTTTTTAACTTCTCTGGTCATTTGTTGCATTAAGTGCATTTTTTTTATTGACAATGAGTAACAAAAATGAAACTCATTCAATTAATTTTGCATTGCAATGTAATTAAACACAAAGCTCATAACGTTCAAGACTGTCATATATCAATATTCATTAAATTTTAAGTTTTGAAAAAAACATTGCAGTTTGTTATTTTTAAATCTAACTTTTATTTAAAACATAATACACATATACAAGGTGGTCGGTTAATCATATATCACTAAATTATTCGCATAATAAATACAATATTAGAAAAAAAAATTTGGATTTTCTTTAGTGGCACATATTTGTTAATTTATCAGCTAATAATTACTTTTTATGACCATCCTTTATAACTGATGGTGGTGTTAACTTTAATTTTTCAAATAACAACATGTACAATAATAATTAATTAGCTTAATCGATAATAATGTAAAAAAAATGATTGGTCGATAACAACTTTCGTATTAGTATATCAGAAGTTATTAACAATTCAAAGTAATGACTACAGATGAGGAGTGTGTGCTGCTATTTTATCACTAGTCATTTTACGACTGTACTCTTCGTCCTGCCTACGTATAAAAACGAGAAAATTTGCGAAGGTACTTATCCAAAACCTAATATTGACCAGTCATTTTCTTAATTAGATTATTTTCTATTTTATAAGCTAGTTATGTTACGTACGTTTCCATTTAACAAATTAACGTTGATACCCCTATAAGTTATAAGAAATGACTCTGAAAAGTAATTATTAGTTGATAAATTAAGATAAATATAAATAATAAATATAATAATAAGAATAATAATATTATAATATCTTCTTTTTTCTCGCCTTAATCCCAACTACTTTCAGTCGGCCAAGTATAATAATATAATATAAAAATGTTATTATAATATTTATTTTTTTAATTAAACAATAATTTTATAAATATTTATTTAATGATCTTGAAGATAAAACTATTTAATACTTGATTTAAAGATTATGAAAAGATAAAGACGTAAATGTATCCGCTTAATCTTTTACAACAAAAATAACATTTTTGAAAAAAAAAAAGACAAATCACAAGCGTAACTAAAGATTAAATGTTACGTAGTTTTTGACGATATTTTACAACGAATAACTTCGCATTGCTTTTCGTTATTTTAAAAAAATCCAGTTTTAAAAAATATAAAAACTAATTTTTTATAAGATAAAATAATATTACTTCAAACTTGACAATAGCATCAAATAAAAGTATATGCGATTGTAACAACCTTGATATTCTGACAATGAAAATTACAGACTATTGATGTAGAACGAGATATCTAAAAAAAAAAGCCCAATAAACTAGACGCTTGAATAATTTTTATTTGAGCAATCAAACCGTGAAGAAAAAAATTATGTTTCTACGATACATCAATTCTTAATTCAATTGTATTATATTTATATTTACTGAGAAACTATTCGTATCATAAAAATTAAATGCTAAAAGATATTTAATTCTGTGACTTATGTCCAAAAGTTGATGTGTCACAAAATTGATATTCAATCGTGTAAATAGAGAAAGTATTTCCTATGGTGAGCCAAAAAATTACTAAAAAATTTTAACAGGATGATTTTTATAATTAAAAAAATGCCGAATTGCGTAAAACGTTATTGATACTTTTAATTGTTTTTGGCTTTCTTGAAAAATTGTTAAAAGTGATTTATTAACTTTTAGAAAACACAATTTTGTTAAATTATAATAATAACATTCATACTAGTAATTTGAACATCTTAACATAGTATTTATTTTTAATAGAATGGGCGTTGACCAAGAAACTTTGGCTATTGATCTTCAATCGATGACCAAAGATGACGACGAAATACTTACGATCGAAGAAGCTCGAAAAATTATACAAATTTTAAAAGACAGATGTCGATTTCAAACACATCAGGCACTTATATGGAGAAAAAAAGCCAAAATTCAAGTAATTTTTTTAAAATACATTTGTTTAAATTAAATTTTAATAAACGTTAAAAATTTTATGCATTAAGAATCTTATGAATGCATAGAGACTGGTCTTTAATAAACATCTAATTTATATTAAACTTGTCAAACAACACTTAATTAATTAACGTAACTTAAATAAGTTACGTGTATTACCTATTTTTTTCGTGTAAAAGATTAATTATAAATAAAAGTGTAGCTGTTCATAAAGCTAACTTGGATTACATAAAATAATTATAATTCAATAAAATAATAATGGAATGACATTTTTTTTTAATTCAATGAAACTACTGCAATGAAATAGTGAAAAATGAACTAATAATTAAAATTATTAAATTTATTTTTTATAAAATACAAAAAAATAAGTTACTGTATGGAGTTAATTAATTATAAATGATACTTTAACAAATAATAATTCTAGTTTTACAATTTTATAGGAACAACACATAGCAAGAATTAGTTCGGAATATAATACTCGATTAGAATCGTTAACGTCAGACTTGCTTCTTTTCGAAGCGCGGTTAAGTAAAAAACAACGTGAAATTACTGAACTGCTTGACGAAAGAGATTGCATAATCGACCAACAACAACAAATTATTCAATGTCTTCATTCTAGATTAGCAGATTTTGGTGTCACCATGACAGTGACTTCGTTAGATGACGGCAACGTGGATGACAGTGACAGTGCAGTTATTATGGAGGAAGATGAATTCAGCAGTCAAGTTGACGCTACGGAACACCTACAATCAAATCAACAGAATCAGCAACAGCCACGGCCGATAACTACAGAAGATGGTAGGGAAACTGACAGTCGAGGAAATGTAACGGCAACTTATAACAGAGTAATGAGTAACCATCGATCAGTAACCAAACCTAAAGACGTTAAGTACAAAAGAATTAATAAAGCAAAGTCTAAATCACTCGAAGAGCTTAGGGGTCGTTTAAAAAATTGGGTGGATAGGGGGACTCGTATGTCGTTATCAGTAGAACCTGCGTATAGGTAACCATTGATAACCAAATTACTTATAAGACCGCACATTATTCAATTTTACATATATGATAAACTGAATTAATATCTATTTTATTAACAATTCACTTTGAAACATTTTGTTTTTATAATTACAAATTAAATACTGTCATAAATATAAACTGTGTTACTTAAATAATTTTAATTAAATAATGGTATTGTTTGACTATATTAAACAATTGCTCAGTAAAATGTTTAATAAAAATTTATTATTTAGTCAATCAAATGTCAGTATAATATACTATAGTATAATTATTATATTTTGAACTCAAATTATTTTGATTTAAAGTTATGTTTAAAAATAATAAGAAAATTGTCGTTGTGTTCCTACTCGAATTATAATTAAGGATGTATAATATTATACATATACTATCATTAAAAATGATACAAATATAATTTTATTTTAAATAGACTCAAAATAAACTCGAATTTTTTAATAAAACTTTTAAAAATATTAATTTTGATACAGTAGATATAATCCTTTAACACCTTATTGATACATTTTTTTTTCTTTAACAAAATTTCATAAAGAATTCCGGAAAATATATTTTTCTACAAAATTATTTGTCATTTAGTAAATTTACATTATTACTAATGATTCATGTAAAATAGCTTTTTAATTTATAACTATTTTTATTAATTATAAAATATAATGAAATTCAAAAATTATTGAAATACTGTGGTAAATATATATACAGGATGATTTTTTTATCATAACCCACTCAATTACTTACAGAAAAATAATAATTAAAAAATTTTTTATTACTATCTTTAGTTACATATTATTCTTGAATTATTAACTATGTAATACTTTTTAAGTTCATCCCTTATGCCTGGTAAGGGTGTCAACTTTGTTTTTATAAATGGTAACACATATTTTTAATTTAATAAAATGTTTGAGTTTTTAATTCAATAGTAAATGGCATTTGAATTTTTAATAAAACTTAATTTGTTTATTAGATATAAACATTTAAAGTTTCAAATTTTTGAGTTAATATATAGGTATAATACACAAGGGATTACAAATACAGGTAGCTAATTGATTTTTTATGACATCGATATTAGCAGGTACACAGCATTGTTATTATCAATGATAGTAAGGTACATTGTTGTGAGTTTATAAATACACTAACTGACAATACAAAAAGTATATCTATTGATAGTCACAATTGATAATAAACAATCCGTGACTGTGACAGCAATGTCATAAAAAACCAATTAGCTACCTATATTTGTAATCCCTTGTGTATTATACTTGTATATTAACTCAATAATTTGAAACTTTAAATGATTATATCTAATAAACGAATTAAGTTATATTAAAAATTCAAATGCCATTTATTATTGAATTAAAAACTCAAACATTTTATTAAATTAAAAATATGTGTTACCATTTAAAAAAACAAAGTTGACACCCTTACCAGGCATAAGGGATGAACTTTAAAAGTATTACATAGTTAATAATTCAAGAATAATATGTAACTAAAGATAGTAATAAAAAATTTTTTAATTATTATTTTTCTGTAAGTAATTGAGTGGGTTATGATAAAAAAATCACCTTGTATATAAATCTTTATGATGTACAATTAAACGAGATTTCAAGAGTCTGAATGGAATTTTATTTAGTCAAAAATCAAATAATTATTTGAAATAATTTATTTGAGATACAATTTGGAGAACGATCACATCAAAACATAATTTAACAATAATTTAAAAATAGTAATTAATTTGACATATATTTAGTTATTGATTTTCACGACTCCCTAAACCAAAAATCAGATTAAATTAAACACCTTTTTATAACTTGTTCTAATATTTACTCTTACTATAACAACTTACAAATAACTGATTACATTTCAATTGTATCTAAATAATAATAACGGTTTGCAATTTAATTATTTATTTATTTCAGTATATTATTTAATTAAATAAAGAAAAACCAATAAATATAGTTAATTTTCAATATTATTAGACAGATTGTTAGAATTTCATACATTTTATAATTTTAAAAATTGTTTATCGATCAAAATAAAAATTTAGTTTTATAAATACATGAGTGTATTTATTATATAATCATTTAAATATGAGGTTTTTTAAAACAAATAAAACTGTAAACAATTTTTTTTCATACTTTGAAAAATTGATATTCTTAATGTGCGTTATTCTATATTTTATTATAAATTCAATATAAAATATTTAAAAAATAAATAGTAAATTTTTTAAGAAGTTAATACATTCAAAATATCTGGAATGTACTAATTATTATTGTTATATTTATACTTCTATTAAACTAAAGCCATTTAATAAACTTTTAATTTTTTTTTTTTTGAAATTAACTTAAATTAAAGACATTAAATAATTTTTACAATAAAAATTTCTTTTATCTAAACAGATATACAATAATTTATATTTTATCGTACCAAAAATTTTATATTAATTCTTTGTGTGAATTATTATTATTATACATTTATATCTTTTGTCTTTTCATATATGCACTAAAATAATTAAATTAAAATAAAACTGTATCAATGTTAGTTAAATTAATTAAAAATTTTTTTTTTGTAGTAATTACTATCTCAAAAAGTAAAGATGTAGTATTTAATTATTGAATATTAACAAAATGTATAGTAAAGATTTAATATACAGTAAATTTATTCAAATATTTTGGTCATTGCTTAACATTGCCTAGTTAAGGATTATTTTTAATTAGTTTTTCATAACTTTGTTACCTATAGTTAATTTTTAAACATTTGTACAGTAACCAAAGATATTATGTGTTAAATTTTAATGTTAAGATATTTATTGTTTCTCAATAACACACTTTATAAATAATGGTCATTAAAAATTTAATTAATATATTAATGTAAATATAAAATTGCAAATATACTAGCTACAAGCTGTTTACACAAATAAAATGACACAACTATCATGTCATTAATTTTGAAATTTATAATTAATGTCTCATTTTGTTGATTTATCACTAATTGGTCGTTGATTCTTATGTCAAACATATAGTGTTTATAAAATGTTTGAACAATTGAAGAAATTTAAGATAAAATTTTATTATATAACAATAAAATACAAAGAGATAATTTTATGCATACTATCACAACCATCTCGTTTGAAAAGTTTCATATATCTCCATAAAATTCCAAATTGAGCAGTTTATAAATTTATGTCTTTGTGCTTCAAACATAAAAAAAAATTGTCTCCGATTTTAATCAATTAACTTTTTACGAGTTATCTATTTTTAATACAACCCTACCACCAAAATTAATAAATTATTATAAATAATTTCTGGAATTTATTAAATTATTGTAGTTTTTGAGTATAAAACTTTTAATGCTTATGAAACATTTAAAAAAAATACAAGATTATTGTTTTTATTAAGTATCAAAAAAAATAATTTAGACATAAAGTTTTACATAAATTAAAATCAATTTTATTCTTATAAAAATATTAGGCAAATTTAAATGTAAAAGAAATAGTTGGGGAAATAGTTAATACGTCCAACGATACGTAATTTTATTGAAAATGTGTCAAGCATTATTTTTACAACCACTGATTCAAATAATAAGTTTATTGCTGCTATCTTCAAACTATAACCATAATTTAAGTATAAATTAAGTGTTTATAATATTTAAAGCCAAATTTATTGATCAGACAAATTTAATTCAGAGATACCAAGCTTATTCGAAGATATTTATATATATATATTTGTTCTAAGCCTTATAACAGGCTACTTACCTTAATTAATTACTATTTGTGTGACTATTAAAATTACTAAATATCTCATTTATAATTATAAAATAATTCAATTTTTCATTGATTCACAGCAGATTTTAAGATATATTTTGATATATTTTGAAAAATACTTATTAAGACTTTGTAAATGGACGTTCATAAAATGATAGTTTAATATAATAGATATAAAATAACTCATCAGTAAAAATTCCGAAAACAATTTTTTTTAACGATTTTCATTAAATTACATAATAAAAAAGGAATAATACTAAATACCATCATTATGGCTTAGTCATTATGACAAAAATTCTATTCGTAACATTGAGAAACAAAAATAAGTCAATTCTTTAATTTAAAAATTAGTATATTTAAATTTAAATATTTCATATGATAATATTTTGTTTTTGATTACAATTTCTACAAAAATAAATAAATTAATCAACAATTAAACAATATATACTATAATGAAGTAGTATAATTAAAGTTATTAAATGCATTATAAAATAAATAATTATTAATTTGGTAACTGATTTGAAGGAAGTCAAAGATAAGGCTCGGTCCAGTATTTTATTGTGGACGGAAAGGTTAATGATGGAGACTTAAATTCAAAAGAAGCCGATTTTGCTCGGCTTCTACTTTTTACATCTTTGGGTTTTTGTACATTTCTATGTGTTCCGTAAACATTTCTGTTATTTAGCGATTGTACAGTAATAATAGATTTTTGACTTAAACCGGTCACTTCTAGAAATGATTCATAGTTAACATTTGTACCATTACAGCAATTTTCTGTTCCACTTCCTATTGTAACTAATTTTTTTATTGGAAATTCATTGCCATCCGCTTCTGATCTACTGTATTCTTTTTCCAAGTCACAATCTTCGAATCGAAACTCTTCAAAATTATTTCTGGGGTCTAGATCTCCTAAAGACTCATTACTACTTTCACTACTATTTAGAGCACTAGTACAGGAATGTGTTAGTTCAGAATCAGTCTTAAGTTCAGCAGCAACTTTTAAATCATTATCCGCGATATAGCTTCTACTGTTCACGCCATTAATGGGAGATAATTGTCCTTTAGCATCCATCAAATTATTAGGGGTGATACAAATACTTTCAAATTTTCGAACCATTTGGGATACACTAGGTGATGTTTCAGTAGACGCAGTACTTGATGTTTCATTTTCCGATTCTGTAGAATCACCACATTGAAGTAACAGTGTCTCTACTGTTTTTACTATATCAGTCTGATTATCTTCATCTGGCTCAGGTATATGAGTAGTTTTTCCAAAGTGCACTGATTTAGGACATGGGAATTTATCGCCTTTCTTAAGCGCTGATGGTATTATTTTACCATTTTGTTTGGTTGGCGTGATCATCTAAAAAATAATTATAATTAATTAATTCACTTGAAAATAATAAATAACATTACAAATTATTAAAAAGTCTTCTTATCGATGGTTTAGAGTATCAGGAGGGTCAGTGAATTATTTTATATTTTCTCAGGAGAGTAAGTTGACCACCTTTTTTTATTATCTCTTATATTTTAACACGTTTTCAATGCTATTTAGTGATTCAAATATTAAATTTATACACAAAAAAATTATTTCTTAAATTATAAAATTAGACAATTAACATAGTTTTGTCAAAAAAAAACTTCACTCTTTTTTGTGAAAAATACTAATAATTTTAATAATTTGCTATTTATCTCAACTATTTCAAATTTAATTTATTATTCAATTTGATATATAGTATGTTCAGTAAGTACGTAAACGGGTTTCAATTGTTCTCATTATTTGTAGCAATTATCATTGTGTGTTTGCAAGGGTAGTCCTAGTTATATTTTTACATTTGTAATACAAATTTCATAGACCATTCTATTGATAATACAAATTAACTATGCGAGTGTTGTAACTCATTGAATTACAACAATTTAAAAAATATAAGAAGATTTTGAAAATATGATATTTGCTAGGTAATAAAAAAAATATAAAAATTGATGAAGATAAAAACAAAAAACAATTGTTACGATTTTGAGGATAATTTTTCATCAGAAGCTCATGACATAATTGGATATTTACGTAAAAAATTCACTATGTTTTAACTTCAAATATTTCATTTTAAAAGGTGTTCAGTAAATAAGAAAACGGGTTAATTGTTACAAACAATAAGAACAATGAAACCTGTTTCCTTATTTACTGAATATCCTATAGAACAAACATTGTTTAAATTATGATTAAGGATAATGAAATAAAATAATAGTATAAAGTTTTATTTATTAAGATTACTACATGTCTTTTTTTTTTTTTAATAATGATTTGTTCGTAAAAATGTACACATTTTTTTCAATAAACAGCTTAATAACATTACTTTTTGAGATATTAGCATTTTAAGATTTAGAAAAGGTGAGAAGTGGGGTAGTGTTTAATGGCACTCTGTTTTTATAACACACAAATAAGAATTCTTCTATGTTGCGCATACCTCTCACTCAAAACTAAAACTATATTATTTCAAAATGTAATATTACAAAAACGACATTCAATATTTTATTTAGACTACTCTTTATTCATTAGTAAAGAATTAATAGTAGGTTCTCATTTAATTTTCAAAAGTTACCCTTGAAATCAATATTTGGAAATAATTTTTTTTTATAATAAACTTGATAATTACTTTTATTCATAATAATAAGTAAAATTTTAAACTGTATATTTTTATGAAAAAGTTATTGTTAAAAAAAAAATTGTAGGATAATATTCTTAATAAACGACACTATGTATACAAAGTGGAATAGATCTGACTAACATTTACAACTTTTGTTACAACTAACACTTCGTTATAATTTTCCAATAATAATTTACACATTCTTAGACTACGTTAACATCATATTTTTTATCGTTTATTTATAATATTTTTTTATTAGTTTTTTTTAATTACCTCTTTAGAAAGATCGTTATACGTGAACTCGCTTTTTGAAAAAACAGAATTGGAAACCACAAATAAATTGTTATTAGGTGTCGGATTAGGAAAAGACGATATATCATTAAGGGATAGGTCTGTGACTGTTTTGCTGTAGACATTCTTGTTGAAATTAATGTTGTTTTTCGTAGCTTTTTTAGGCGTTCCACTCACGTCAACTACTGTTAAAATATTTTTTTTTACGCCCTCCAGTTTTATTATATTTGGAGAAACCGAGAGTGATTCGATATTCGTTGAATCAATAACATCATTACTCTTTGTCACTAATCCATTGGTTTGGGGTGAAATAGAAGTGATGAGGTCAGGTTTTGAAGTTGATGTTTCATTATCTTCTTGCGGCTCATTTTTGTGGTAATATGAAGCCAAACATTGCTTTAGCTTAGCTATTTCTATTTGTTGTTTTTTTATTACAGCATCTCGTTCACCAAGTTGGCGTCTTATCTGCTGTTGTTCTCGCCTTAGTTTCGATTCGAATATATACAAAGACCTCAAAACTTTTCCCAACTCTTGAAAATTTGTTTGCTGGCATTTTTTCAGTTCATAATTTTTCTGATAAAACTTTGAGGATAATTCATCCACAATCTGATGTCTCTTAAAAATTTGATTCGTCAACGCGTTTTTTGTCCGGTAAAGTTCATTTTTTAGTTTAATAACTTCATCATCGATCTAAAAATTAAAATATAGTTGTTATTAAAGTTTTTTTCATCTATGACACGCACTTATACAACGATCAAATTTATCAATGAGGAGAAGTACTTTTTATGTTTCCCCCTTATGCTTTATAAGAGTGTCAACTTTAATTTTTCAAATGGGAATATTTATTATCAAATGGTCGATAACAACTTTTAGGCCAGCATTTTAGAAGTCATTAACATTTAATATCAAGGCAAGAGAAAAGTACACCAGGGAAATGATTTCAGACAAAAATAACAAAAAATATAATTATAAATGTAAAATGATAGAAACTACTAAATTACTAGTCCACAAGTTGTGATCGACCACTCATTTTCTTAAATATATCATTATCATTAATAAATTAGATAGTTGCTTATATATGTTTTCATAAGAAAAATTCAAGTTGTCATCTTTATAAGGTATAAGGAATGAACATAAAATAATTCATCACTGATAAAATTATGTAACTAAAATTAACAAATAAAAATGTTCGATATTATTTTTATTCTTCAATTAATTAAGTGATCAATGATAAAATAATAGTATATATAGTGCAAGATAACATTCTCAATTTTTGTTTTAAGCTAAAAAAAATTATACGAAAAATTAAATAAATAAAATGGGTTTCGTGCTCATTTTGATTATTTTATTTGTATTTATAAGTATACTTAATATTAATCAATTAAATTAATTTTTTTTATAAATAAATATTACATTTAAATACAAAATGATTTAGTTTAAATTAAATGTTTTTATATTTGATGAAAATACAATTTTATTGTTGATGACAATTTCACGAAGATTGTACGACGGATATTTACTTCGAGAGCATATGATAAATACAATTACTCATTTCCGGTAAGGCATTGAAATTGAACACAAGATTAAATTTTAGTTAAACGACAAACATAAATTAGGGCGTGGTAAATGAAACCGTTCCATTGAAGCAGAATATTTAGTTGTAGTTCTCCCATAAAAGACATCAATTTATTTGCTATTTTGACATAGTTCTACTAACTTGAAATACGGTAACTAAAATAAATGAGATAATATATTTGTAAAAATATTTCTTTCAAACTTTTCACTGGTATTCGAAACGTTTAATAAAGATAACGTCTACACTCTAGAGAATATATTTTTTTTTTTATTTAACGTTTAAAACTCAATAACATTTTTTTAATAAATTAAAAACTATTATAATAAAAATATAAACAATTATTTCTAATAAACAAAGATATTTTTCCTTTAAACCTACTTAAGTAATTTTAAATCGCGTATACATCATGGTATTAAATATATATATATACATAAAAATCAACACAAATTATTTCAGTTATACTATATTTTGTATACTATAAACTTCGTATAACAAAAATAATTTATTATAAAATCTTAATAAAGGTATTATAATAGTTAAAATAAATCATTGTCCAACCGAATAAAATACTTTTAATTTTATTTAATATGATTGAGAAATTTTTTGATTCTAATCTAACAAAAACGGTAGCACAGTGGGGTCGAGGCACAGTGTAGACAAGGTATAGATGGGACAAGTATAGATGATATTTGACAATGATTAAAATCACTATCATAAGAAACGCTTCGATGCAAATCTGTAGATAGTGTTTCATTTAAAGAAATTGGTGAAATATTTTAAAAGCAACATGAACTCTTATTTCTTTAATTATATCCTGATTAGTAGTTCTTTGATTTTAAAATATAATATATGAATAAATNTAGTAGTTCTTCGATTTTAAAATATAACATATGAATAAATACTAAATATAGTTATTAAATTTAGTATCAAATTGATATTCAATAATTTAATATTGTAATTTAAGTGGAGAAATTATAAAAATAATAAAGAAGTTGTATTTTGCTTTATTTTTACGTGTATAAAAATTGAAAGGGCTTCATACAATAAGTTTCAATAAAAACTGTTTGTTACTATAAATAAATGCACTGAACTACAAGGAACTTTCATCAGAAGCAAAAATATACTTTTCTAAATAAATTTTTTGCGTTGTTTTCAAATCTGCAATTAGACTTTTTCTATCACTTCTAAGTTTTAATATTATTAAAAATTAGTATTTACACATAAAAAATTAGCATTGAAGCTAAAAAATTGGCTATTTAAGCTAACTCAAATTTAAAAATTACTTATTCGACTATAAAAAAGTAAAAAAAATTTAATAAGTTTAATTTCTTATGTCTTATGAACTTTATTCTATGTCAATTAAATTATATAATATTCATGAAAGTCAATATATTCTCCTAATAAGATATTTTAAAATAAAATAAAATACAAAACCTAGAATTTTAATAGAAAAATAGCATATTTTTGAATACGGTAGCCATTTGCGCATAGAAGATAGATCGTCGGGACAAATTTTTTTTTTCATTTTATAGTACATAAAATAAGCTTTAATTTGATATATGTTTAAAGGACGCAGTATTTCCGGAACATTTTCAAAAATTAAGTTGAAAAAGTTAGTTTTTGTAAAAAAGTTGCTATTTTAAATCCCCCCAATGAGCAGGTTCAATGTTAGATTTTCAAAAAAATTATATAAAATGAAAGGGAAATATCTAAGGTTTTAGTATAAAAAAAAATTATGTTGATTTGTTTATTTTTGAAAAAGTTATGGAAGTTTTAAGAAAAAAAAGTGAGAAAAATGACAAAATTTACCGATTTTTAAATTTGTAATTTTTTTGGATATTTCCCCCATTTGCGAGGAACGAGGGAAAATTTTTCAATTTTTAAGGGTAATGTCTTCAATTAGATACGATTTGTGATCTTTTGACGTATTGTTGAAAGAAATCGGTCCAGTGAGAGCTGAGAAAAAGTGGCAACAGACATAAAAAAAAAAAAAACACATCATAGTAAAATTAATACCTTCTCAGCTTCGCATCGAAGCTAAAATATTAAATTTCAAAATGTTTTAGCCACATAAAGTAAAATATTTTGTTGATTTGACATATTAAATTGACATTTCATTGTTTCACAGAGTGCATGGGCTACTAGAATTTGTAATAATTCTCAGTAATTATAATTACCATGACAGCACATCTAGTTTTAGTCAACAGAGTATAGTAAACATCTTCTTTCATCTTCATTCCTTACATATATTAGTATGTATACAGAGTGACTCTTTTTAATACTAGACACTCAATTTTTCTTAAATTATTTTCTTAAACATATATAAATATATGTTGTACCCATTTGTCTGCTATAAAATATTTTTTGTGTTTATCCTTTATAACTAAAAGAAGTGTCAACTTTATTTTTTTTAATTAAAAATATATATTTAAAAATTGATAACAACTATTGGACTAGTACTTCCGAAAATATTCTCATTTTTATGCCTAGCCTGGACTTCCTACCGCCTCCCGTCATTTCCCTGCCGTACTTGAAAGTAAGGAAGGGAAATGAGTAATGATAAAAATAGCACCCACTACTCACTTTAATTTGTTAATAAATTTTGTAATATTGATTTATGTTTCTATAAGCTTATTATATATACATGTTGTCATTTAAAAAAATAAAGTTGACACTCCTGTAAGAAAAATAAGATAAAATACCTTCTCAGCTTCGCATTAAAGCTAAAATATTTGATAACAGATAAATGTAAATATATATATGTAAAAAACAAAAGCCGAAAAAAATCACAAAAAAACTATTATTTTAAGAGAATTTGAGTGGCTAGTGTTAAAATAATTACACTGTATATTATATCAAACTATAGTTACAGATAATATTTTCAGCATCCATTTTTAGGCAATTAATTCTAAAATAATAATACCCAATTATTCAAATATATTACTGTGTAAATTAACTGCTTAACATAATTAATGTCATCCTAGATTTTAAACAGTTATACTGTTAAAGATGAACCATTCAACTAGTCAGAACAATATAGTATTGAAAGATAATGAACGAGGAATGCGAAATTCAAGCGAAGCGTAGGCTGTAGTAAAGTAACGGTTCGATCATTCTGACAATGTAAAATATTTAGTGACGGGCAAAAAAAACAAAAAAATGCTTCGTTATTTTATAGTGTTGTAAATAGAAACATCAACTATTGGCACTACATTATCCGTTATATAACAGGATGCAAAATATATAGACTATTTTAAAAATTTTTTTTGCGAACCTATAGGAAAAATAACATAATATTTATAACTTACTATAATAGAACAATCATTTATATACTTTTAAAATATAATATAATCAATAATAAGGAAAGTTTTAAATTTTGAAATAGGTAAAAAGTAACATAATATAACTACAAAACAATTTTCTGTCATTTATTTGTGTATAAAACAAAAAAATAACTAATCATAATGTATGAATAAAAAAATGATTTCTTAATTTAATTAAATTAAAAAACTATTTAACTATGCTTATGAAACCAAATCTCGATATAATGAAATAATTTAGAAATTTGTTATAATTTAAACACACCCGCTTCGCATAGAAATTATTTATTTGAAATTAGTATTTTGATATATCCAACAATAGCATTGCCAATAATAGGCAATCTAAAAATAATAATTTAATATGGAGTCAAAAATTATAATATATTTTTCGGAGATAACATGAGGAGTGATGGAAGTATCTAAAAGAACACAAAAAAGTTAATAAATAATTGACTAAGAGCTAATATATATATATATAGAAAAAACTACAGGAAGTGTGTAATATTGAAATAAAGAATTTATTTTTAAAGATATAAACAAATGGTTGATAAATATTATATCTTGGACCATTTTTACATGTTAATTGTCGTTATAAAATCATTGAGCTAAAATTAAATACATTATAAATATTAAAAAAATTGTTAATTTCAGTCTTTTAGAACACTATTTTAAATTTATAAATCAATTTTATAAAACTTGAATTTTGATTTGGTTAAAAAGTTCAAAGTAGTTCAAAAAGAATACATTTTGTACTTATTTTGAAATAAATGAGGTTTATACTTTTTTTTTATTAA